TGAGAATCACCTTTCCTCCGGAGAGGTAAAACTCTGCTTCACCGTAAGCCTTCACAGCGAGGACGTTTAGTAGACTACAAATGTAGAATAACCGTTAGCAATGGAATACTAGCAAAAATGAATTATAAGGAGTGTCGGCTTTTTATCTGGCCCTCCCTTGTCCCTATCAAAGGGCGAATACTTACGCATAGCAAACGATGACTGCAGCGCAAATGCCAGCAGTAGGGCCCGGATTGGTGACGCTCTCATCCCAAAAAGAGATGACGAGATTGAGTGCCGTGATCTCAAAGGGAATTAGCAGGGCTTCGTAGATGAAGAAGTTCCAGCCAGTCATGAATCCTAGAGCATCGTCGACCCAGTGGCCGGCGAGTCGGATGAAACCTCCAGATACGGGCATGAGGGTTGTCATCTCGGCGAGAGAGTTGTTCACCAATCCCAGAACAATCGAGTACAGAGCGTATGCCAAGAAGAGGCTGCCTGGCCCGGCCGTGGAAAGTCCACCTCCGATGCTGACGAAGAGAGCCGTGCCAATCGAGCCGCCGATGGCAATGAGCTGAATCTGGCGATTGTTAAGGCGCCGTTGCAGGCCATCAGCATTCTCGACGAACTCTTGAGACGCCGAGTCAGAGGCGTCGGGAGCCTCGAACTTGGGCTGCTTTTCATCCTTGGTAGTCGCCATTTTGCAAATGGGTGGCCAGTAAGTTGGTAACAGTCCTACGTCTTACTAGATCGTCATGAAGAAGGAAAAAACCAACTGTGGCGGTACAAAAGCAGTGTATTGCCAAACAGATCAAGATCAACGAACTAGCGCCACCAAAAGATTAAATCTTTGGGTGAGACGTTTTCGTATGGCCAGAAGAAGAGAAGCTGGGGAATGAAGAATAAAAAACCCAGCAAAGGTGACGGGCGATGGAGGAGTATATGTAGCAAGCATTCATGAGCAGCGCCTGCATCAACGGGCCAGGGACTCGCAGAGTACCTATCGCATCAGGTCCATTGTATGAGTGAATACCGTACTACGTATTTAGCAGCCAACCGACTGGGGACCGGGACAAGAGCGAAGACAAGGCCGAAGACTTAGCATCGCAATGGGATTGGACAGCACCGCGGTGACGGCGTGGGCTATGTGGGGGGAATGCCGAACCAGAAACGCTTCCAATATCATCTCAGGCGATTTTCTGCTCTTCGTCTTGGCAAGCCCGAGGAGCTGCTCTTGACCCAGAGCTGGCGAGTCGCTCTGTGCTCGCTGCTCGCGTCCCCTGCCATTGTCGTTCTTGGTGGAGAAGCCAAGGACAACGCCAGAGGAGAGTTAGCGGCTTTAGGCCCTGCTTAGACTGAACGGGACGAACAGCCACCCACAGAGGAGGGGGCTAAGGATCCAGAAAGCGACCAGGGGGAGGGCACAGTGCCAGATTGCGGTGCTGTACATGTCCGTCCCTGTTTTCGTGGTACACAGCCTTGGTGGGCTAGCGGTTGTTTGATGACATCGGAGAGCAAAGAGATCTGGCAAGAAATTAGAATGTATGAAAAAAATAAAGAGGCTTGGAAGACTGTTTTATAATCAGATAACAAATATCGGTCGAGTGCCCGGTACGTACACGCGAGCTTCCTTGAAGTGTCGTACAGATGGTCGAGGATTTACCTGTATCGACCAGGATCAAAAGCCAGCGAAATCCTCATGGAAAATGACGAAGATCCTTGACCCCCAAGTATTCTATAGCATCCCCCCCTCTGTCAAGGTATGGCTGATCAACGAGACGCCAAAGGAAGTCACATGTGTATCTCAATGACTCGTCCCCAACTTCAACTTACAGATAATTGCCATATCAGGTTATTACACTATGCATAGCTGTTGATTGAACATCAAATACCCCAATCTGGCTTCTCTTGGCCATACTGCCTTGTGTTACGCTGCGAATTCGGCATGGAATGCTGGAACGTATTTCAGCTCGAAGCAAGGTTAGGCATAAGGGTATAGGTAAAAATGATTGCTGCAGCCTGCATTCCGTACCTAGGTAAATGTCCGAGCCTAGAACCCTGGGATCGACTGCACATCCGTCTGAAGCTAAAAGCATCGAAATTGGTATCGAGAGTCGAAAATTCGCACCTCACCGATCTGACAGAAATAGCTGATAGGCGTAGTCTTGATATTTAGCAGCCGTAAGCTACAATGGCATTTTTAGCTGTTGCAGTCAATTACATATCTTGTCTATCGTTTTGAATGAAAAAAAAAAAAAAAAAAAAAAAAAAAAGCCAGGCAAACAGGCGTGTTTCTGGATGCCATTTCTGCAGCATTTGCTCCAAGCAGCAGCGTTTTTGCTGGGCACTGTGCAATCGATGCATGTCACCGTCCCGGCCACGCGACCAAGGGTTCTGGACTCAAGCCATCCGCTCGATCTGGAAAAGCTCAGATCGTGGCTGCATACGTCTGCGAATATAAAGTTGCATGTCGTCGAAAAGAGATCTTGATGGCGTTTTCCCAAAAATACGTATCTACTTTCTCGAAAGCGGTTGAGCGGCTGGTCTGACCTGCTTCCGTCAAAAGGAATCTCGTCGCAGCTCACAATGACGTCACCCCGCCAGAGCCTTGTCTGTGGCTAGACTCGCATCTAGACTAGCGGCTATCGACGATCAGAATGTCCCTGGTCGCACAGTTTGCATACAGTGCGGGATCGCGTCCTCCAGCGGCCTTGCTAAATATCGTATTATACTCGTATCTTGAGGCCTCTAGTCACCGCCTGGAAGCTGCCGATTCCCAACAGTTCGTCTGCTTAGACCGAATGCCGGAAAAGGGAGGCTGTGCCTAGAGCACCCTGCAAGAATAAGGCCGCCGTTGTTGCGCAGCCATGGATACTTTAAAGTAGACTTTGTGCATAAATGAGCTGCATGCGGAGGCTCGATGGGCGCGAGTCAGGAGGAACCGCCCAGCTGCCAAGCCTCAGATGTCTGAGGCCATCACTGTCGTCATCTTTTGCACATGAGTCTTGGAGAACAAGGCAAGGCTAGCTGAGACGAGAGTCAATAATTCAGCAGAGAAAAGGCGACTTTGTTGAGAGGCTGTTTTTTATTGTGGGCTAGAACCCTCCGCCTTTTGGAGCGCACCAATGGCCGGACAGCAAATGCTGTTTAGTCCGGAGAACTTCCATCATGCAGACAACACTGTGCGCTCGGATTTAGCGGCACTATCGCACCGTATGGGACTTCTACTTGAGGGAGACCGCCGCTTGCCGCTAATTTCCCACATCAGCCAAGTTTCCCTATCGTACCCGCAGCATGTGCGCCGATAAGTGGCGGGGCCGAGATCTTCGCACTGTACTACCAATCAGGTGCAGCCTGCAGGACAGCGCCCGTGCCGCAAAAAGTCCCCTTCGGCCAAAATTTCGTCCCTAGTAGCCGATACGTATTAGACGGCGCCGACGTCGTTTCATGTTTTTTCAGCCCTCGAGCAGCGCCAGGGTTTTTCGACGCGAAGGCACCAATAGGCGTTGAGTCCGCCGTAAGAAACGGACGCTAACGGTAAATTACAGCGCAACGCTCGCCTCTCTCTTTTTGGCTGCTCTTTTCATTTCATGGCTTGTGCCTTGCATCTTTTTGCCTGTTTGTCGCGTGACCTCGTGGCTATTTGAACCGAATCGAGTTGCGAATCTTTCTTGCATTGACGATAGAGATTGATCACAGTCATATCATCAAAACGCATATAATATCCATAATCTGACGCTGGAACTCGTTTGCAAAGAGCATCACTGGCCTTTCGCCACCACAGCTTGGAAACTCGCACAGGCAAAAAAATTCTTAAAGCCCACACACACAAACACTCGCGCGCGCACTGATGAGTCAGTGGGTCTATTCTCAAGCTATGCGCCTCAAGTAGAGAGCAATGGGGCAAAAAGAAGAAAAGAAGAAAAATTCAGCCAGGCAAAATACTGTCCTAAGAAAATAAGGAAGAAATCTAGGTGAGAAAAAGCGGCCAGGGAGTAAAGTGTCCGTGTTGTACAAGTAAGCGCATTCTCTTGCCAGTACCTGGACAAAGCTGCTGTCTCAGCGCGTAGAAACGGTCTGGACCGGCGAGATTTGTTAAATCCTCAACAAAAAAGGGAGTAACGTTACGAAATAGGAAGAAATGAACAACTTCTTATCCTAAGCGAGGCCATCTCGAAATCTATTGATGCAGCACCGGAGGTGAATTGCCGCCTTGGGACAATCACATGTCAAACCAAGAGAGAGACCCTGAAGTCGGTGAAAGCAAATTGAGGCTAAACAGCCCACTAGGCAATAGTGCTGGAATGAGAGCGACGATGGTATGAGGCAGACGAAACACAGTATAGGGGAAATTATATGGTTATATAGCCTAGAAAGTGGGAATATTTCTATATCAGCTACAGTAGGAACCAAGAGTAGGAACCAAGAAGTTGTTGATAGGAATTTAAAAAAGCGTGAATTCTAGTGAGGTGTCGTGTAGCTCTAGCAGATTTTCGGCATTGCCTCAGTAGAATTGCAGCTTAGATTCAAGCGCTGTAAAGTGGCAGATTTGAGTCCCAAATAGCAGATAAATCCGACCGTTGTCTTTAATTTGTATGCATTTGACGATTTTGAAGTTCATCAAGATGATATAATGTGATTTTTTCCAAATAAAAAATTCACAAACAAATTGAGATTCTTTATTCTTCATGCAAGTCAAACGACCCTGCGTCTTCATCGTGACAGGTGGGGTAAAAAGGGTTCTCGCACGCTAAAATTTTCAAGCTGAAAATCGTCATCCCACCTTAGGTTGCCGTATCGATAACGAAAATCACAAAAAAGGTAACAAACAAAAGAATCGCCGCGATACCGTACCAGTGACATCTCGGACCACATATCGCCTGTCTGGAGTTCAGATATATACAGATACCTTAGTCTCGTCTGCTATATCATCAGTGCCCGAGTTCCGTGGCGGCTCTGCGATCGCCACGGCTTTGTCTGCCGGTCAAAGCATCACCAACTGCGAATATCAAACCCCCACCATGGCCTCGACGTCCGATAGCAGCACCCTGGCAACGCTGGTTGGCAGTGCTGTAGCGGAGCAGCTCATAACGGCACATGTATCCCATCTCGTGTCTCCTTCAGAAGGGTCAGCTTCAGCTGCATCGACACAACATCCGTCTTCAGAACTCCTCGCCATAGGCTTGGCCGCTCTCGACGCCTTCCTCCAAGCAACGGTTACTGGTCCTGTTCTGCCACCAAGCGAGTCAGCTTCCGTTGAGAAGCTCTTTGTTAGTGCTTGGAACACAAGTCGCTCAGAATCTAATGACTCTGTCGTCGCGCTGCACCAACTGAGAAGGGCCTGCTTAAAGTACCTCGAAGTTGATGGCGTTGTTCCGTATGCTTACATTCCTCACTTGGAGCTCTTCTCTCTCGCTAGATACATTCTCGTCCAGTCCCTAACAGCCGAGACAAAAGACGTATTTGAGCTACCTTCAACTGAAGGAGCTTCAACAAAACGAAGCCTGGCTTGGGAGAAGTTACGTGTCAACGTCTGGCATTATAAAATCATCACTCAGCCAAGCTTGGGCTCTGGATCAAATTTCACGAAAAGTTCACAGTGGAGCGATATTCCTACACTAGCAACCCAAATCAGCAACCAAATAGATGCTGTACGAGGAAGCATTATCGGTAGTGAGGTCTGGGCGACGGAAGAGACCTGGACTCGCGATGAGAAAGCGTTGTTCCTTGTCGAGGCTGCCAACAACTACATTCTGCTTGGACGCTACGACAAGGCAAAGGAGACGCTGAGTGAAGCGGCAAAGGTCACTGGCGTTGCTTATGCACTATCCGGTGCACTGGGAAAGAGGACCAGGTTCCAAGAGCACAACATCAGCCAGCTGGTTGTTTTTGCACGAAGCGCTTCCGAACAAGATACTGCTATTCTAGAAGAGACTAAGGATGAGGACGACCAAGCAGCTGCCAAGCCAGACTCTCTCAAGCTCAACAACGATACCCTACTAGAAGAGATTAAGTTTGCAAGCGAGCGCGTAAAGGACACGGCAGCAGCTGAGACTTTGCCGCCGGCGCTATCCGAGCTGTCACCGGATGACCAGCCACAGCTTTCTGCCCTTGACGAGATTATTCTTCTTACCGAGGCCACTATCAAGGATGCCTTTTCTCCTATGGATGAACTCACATCCGAACAGATCCTACCTTATGCTGTCCGCGTCCTAACTGATAAATCCGTCAACTGGCAGATTTACACACAAGCCCTGCTCGTGCGTTCAAGAGTAGAAATCCACAGGAGCAGGACAGTCGAACGTGGTGTCCTCCAGCTGCAGGCTGTTGCCGATCAAGTCCTCACCGACACTACCTTTTCCGCTCCGGCAAGCCACGAATCTCAAGACATAGACGAATCAGACGTCGTCCCTTCTATTCAGGTCACCGCCCCAGGCCAATCTGCCGCCCCTGTTGATGAATCCAAGCCTACTACTTTCCTCCCCGCCGCAACAAACTCAGAGTCCGCACCCGCTCCTGTTCGTCTTCGTTACATCCACGCTCTATCGACCCCTCCACGATGGCATCTCGAGTCTGAGCTTGCCTACGCCTGGGCTGGCATCGGCTCCATGACATCTGCCCTTGAGATCTTCAAGCGCCTGAAACTATGGGCGGAAGTAGCCCTCTGCTACGCCAGCAGCGCAGCTACCGAGGACGAAGATGGCCGAGGCAGTGGCGGAGAAGCCAAGGCCAAGGGAATCATTCGTTGGAGACTTTTCAACAAGACCGGAGTTACCACGCCTTCTTCATCAGAGCCAGAGGATGAAATCGTTGGCCAAGACGTCAGTCTTCTCAAAGCAGCTGATTATTCGGGTGTGGAGCGACAACCTCCCCCTCCCAACGCTGCTCGCCTGTGGTGCATCCTAGGAGACATCGAAAGCGATCCGGCCCATTACGAGCGTGCGTGGGAGATCTCCAAGCACCGCTACTCTCGTGCCCAGCGATCCCTGGGAGAGTACTACATCGGCCAGAAAGACCTAACAAAGGCTCTGGAAGCATACAAAAAGGCCACCAGCGTCAATAGACTAAGTCCCGACATGTGGAGTCGTCTTGGTGATATCAGCTTGCGCATGGGACAGTTCGAAGACGCGGCAGAGGCATACAGCCGGTCCATCAGCAGCGCAAACGACACCGAGGGGGGTGAAGGTGCCAAAACATGGAGCAACCTCGGCAGCGCCCTGTACAGCTTATACAGCGAGCTGACTGCTCCTGGAAAGGCCAAAGACGCCGACGAGGCTCCTCCTGCTCCAAAAGCCCCTCTTGACGACGAGGACGACGACATTGCCATTGCAGGCTCAGAGGAGAAAATCGCCTCTCGAGATCCCAACAAGCTCCTTGCCCAGTCACTCGCCGCCTACAAGCAGGGCGCTTCCATAGCACACGACAACTGGCGCATCTGGGACAATGTCATCACCCTCGGCTCCCGCATCTACCCCGTCCCCGCCACAGACATCATCCTCGCCATGACGCACATCATCCGCATCCGCAAAACAGAAGACGCCCTCGACGTCGACATCCTCTCCGCCCTCCTCCAAGACACCGTCTTATCAAAGGAAAAACCCTCCACCAGCAGCAACGGCGTCTACGAACCCCCCCGCGGCTCCGTCGAGCGCCTCCTCATGCGTCTCATCGAAGAGGAAATCGTCCCCCTCATCACCAACCGTTCCGACCTCTGGACGCTCGTTTCGCGCCTGCGTGCCTGGCGGCGCGACTATGCCGGATCCATTGACGCCTCGGAGCGAGCCTGGCGCGCGGCCGTCGGCGCCTCTGGCAGCGGCCTCTTGAATGGCGAATCCGCCTCCGCAGACTGGACGTCCAACGAGGCCGGGTGGGCAGAAGTCGTCAAGCGAACTGACGAGCTGGTCTCCGTGCTGGAGAACTGGGGTCCCGACGTTGAGAGCATTGGGCAGAAGTGGAAGGGTAAAGCGAGAAGTGCGGTGCGCAGCGTGATGGGGCGGGCAAAGGCCAATTGGGAAGACAGCGAGGGGTGGAAGACGCTGGAGAATCTCATGGAGGGGTTGAAAATAGACAGGAGTTGAACAAAGAAAAGAATAGAAAGAGATTAGAATAAAAGATAAAATGTAAAGAGAAAGCATAAAGATTTATCTTGGATAGCTGGTGCACTTGACGTCGTTAAAAGGGTGATGTGCTTATGCTTAGTCCATGCTTTATTGAACAAAGATTTAAGGAAAATAGCTCTATGGACATTGAAATTAATGGGCATTATCCAGCCCTGGTAATAAACTGACCTAGATAGGTAGGACAAGGCAGGCGTTTCTTTCGAAGAAGCAAAGGTATACGAAATCTTCCAAGTATCAGATATGCTACACACATATATATAACACTTGCACTTGATTAACTTCAAGCGAACTGCAATTTATAACCATAAAAGGTCCACGTAAAGGAGAGCCAAGTTTAATATAAGAGGTTGTTCAAGTCTATTCGGGTTCTATCTACCGTCTACCTTCCCTCTATAGCCCAAGGCGCGAGAGATCATGACAACATGGGGGTCCTCCACCCCCAGATGCGTTTCCCGCACTCATCCAGGCCATTCCATTCTATTGAGAAGGCCCTCTCTATCGGCAAACCCGAGCATGCAATCATCGCAAGAACGCATCGCAACTTTTCCTGTACCAATCCGTATTTTTCATCACAATTAAAACAAAAAGAAAATAAAATAAAAAACATTCTCTAAGTCGTCAAAAGGAGTAGACGTCATCGAAATGCCGTGATGTAGGGGGTATGTCGAATCGTTTACAGGTCATCCTCGTCGCTGAACACCTCCTCACCACGCTTTCGGCGGGCCATACGGTCTGTAGAGTAAAAGAGTTAGTTAATGCGGACAGAGTCTCATGGTATTGTTTTATAGTGAACTTACCCTTCTTCTTCTTTCGCAGCTCAGCAGAAGACAGCTTAGCCTTCTTCTTGGTGCTGACAATCTTGTTGCCCATGGCGTCGAACTTATCCTCCTCATCGTCATCGTCCTGCTTAAGACGAGGACCAGCACCCTGGCCCTGGACCCAGTTGTGGCCGGAAGGAGTCATCTTGCCGTCCATGACAGCCCAGACTTCCTCAGTCAAGTCCTTGGTGAACTCAGCAGAGTGAGTAATGATGATAACACCACCCTCGAACTTCTTCAGGGCCTTGGACAGAGCACCCAGAGAGTCACGATCCAGATAGTTGGTAGGCTCGTCAAGGACGATCAAGTGGGGTCGCTGCCAAGAGCAAGCAGCCAAGACAGTCTTGACACGCTGACCACCGGACAGACCACGCATACGAGAGTGAGAAACCAGCTCAGCATCGAGACCGAAGTTGGCGCAGTGAGTCTCAATCTCCTTTCGGACCAGAGGTCGGAACTGACCAGAGGCAAGCGCCTCCTTCATATCGACATCAGCGACCATCTTCTGGTGAGAAGCCAGCAGCTCGTTACGGGGCAGCCAAACGTTGTCAGCAGACATCATGGGAACCCAGCGCTCGTTCTTCATGCCGACGTTCTCACCCAGAGCGAATGAACACTCGTACTCGTAGCTGTTCTTGAACTTTCTACGGCCGTTGATGCCAATGACACGACGCTGAGTACCCTCAATCTTGAAGACCTTGTCCATAGCCTTCTCATCGGCCTCGGTGATGATCTTGTTGGCACGGTCCATGGTCTCACGATCCTCACCAGTCTGGAAACGCCACTGGATGTACTCGGAAGGAGTCTTGTCCAAGTGGTTATCAATGTGGGCGAAAGCGTGCTGCTTGATGTAGGCGATACGGATGTTCTCGTGCTGGTAGATCTCACCACCAGTGGGGATGAGCTCACCACAGAGCACGTTGATCAGGGTAGACTTTCCAGCACCGTTGGGGCCAATGACGGCAATACGAGAGCCCAGAGAGCACTGGAAGCTGATTTCGCTGATCTGGGGCTTGGAAGTACCGGGGTACTGGAAGGACATCTTGGTAGCACGCAGGATGGCCTTGGCCTTGGTCTTGACACCCTCAAGGAAACCGGGCTCGGGGAAGCTGAACTCGATCTCAGAGGCACCAAGCTCGTAGTAGGACTTGGCAGAAGGAACACGCTTGACGAATTCCTTCAGGTTACCACGGTAACGCTTAAGCTTGAAGCGCTCGTAGTGAACGATGTGCTGGCAGACGTTGTCAAGGAAGCTTGAGTCGTGAGAGACGATGATGGAAGTGCAAGGAGAGTTAACAAGGTATTCCTCGAGCCATTTGACGTTCTTCACGTCCAAGTGGTTGGTAGGCTCGTCAAGAAGCAGGATATCAGGGGCCTCGAAGACAGCACGGCACAGAGCGAGCTTCATCTTCCAACCACCAGAAAGAGCGGAGATCTCACCCTGGACCATCTGCTCGGTGAAGCCGAACTCGTCCAGGCGCTTCTCGACATCAGCCTTGGAGACATCGACCTTGGCCTCAGCCAGCTTCTTCATGGTCCACTCAATGGTGGTCATCTCAGTATCAGCGGAGTCGAGGTCGTGCTCAACGAAGACAGTCTTGACTTCGCTCTGCTTGGGGAAACCCTCGACCTGCTCGTTGTTGATGGCACGCATGAGAGTAGACTTGCCGGAACCGTTGGGACCGCAAAGACCGTAACGCTGACCACGCTTGAGACGCAGGTGGGTCTGGTTAAGCAGAATCTTGGCACCGTAGGCGAGAGAGAATGTGCAGTTGCAAAGGTCCTCGCCCTCCTCCTCGTCGGCCTCAGTCTCGGCCTCGGCCGCAGCGCCGGGGGAAGTACGCTTGCGGAGAGTCTCGACAGTGCTCTCAGCGTTGTCAATGCCGGTGATGACGGCGACGTAGGGCTTAAGGTTCTCGACCCAGACGACAGGTTCAGTCTCCTTCATGTCGATGAGCTGACCAGCAATGGCAGAGATGTACTCGGCAACAGGGCCCATCTTGGCAAGGAGAGAAGCGTAGCGGGCAGAGAGGACCTCCTTGACCTTGGCGAGGACGACGTTGATATCGCCATCGTTGCGGACCTCGGGGATCTTGCCATCGACAACGTTACCGACACGGTACAGGGTGTCGAGAGCCTGCTTGGTCTTCTCACGAGCCTCGGGATCAGCCAAGTTGTCGTAGTTCTTCTGGAGACCTGGCATCATCTTGGGCAAGAAAGGAGCGACAATGTTGGGGTCGTCGACCAGCTTGCACATGTTGTCGACAATGACAGCAGTCTTTCGCTTGATGGCAGTCTCACGCTCAGCGAGACCACGATCCAGCAGAGGGACCATAAGAGCGAGGGTGGGCTCCTGGACCTCAGTAACGAAGGTGGTGGCACCGAGAAGGTGGACAGTCTCGGGGACGTTCTCGGGCTTAGCAATACACTTGATCAGCTCAGGAATGAATCGCTCGATATCCTTGTTGACGATCAGCTGGCAGATGATCTCCATGACCTTGTAGGCGTGCTCCTTGACCTCCTTCTTGGTGTCCCACATAGCCTCAGAGACGACGGGGATCAACTCAGGGACACGGTAAGAAAGCGGGGCGGGGGCAGTCTTGACAAGAGCAAGGATGAAGTCGAGGGCAGCCATCTTCTCAGGCCACTTCTGGGCAGTGCGGATGGACTCCATCAGGTAAGGCAGAGCAGCCTTGACAGCGTTGCCGTTGACGGCGCCGGCAATGGCCAGGACAGCAGCGTTGGCGGCATTCTTGACAGCGGTGATCTTGTCACCAACGGCGGCAAGGACAACGGGCAGAAGAATGATGAGGTAGGGCTCGACGCCGGCGCCGACCTCAGAGTGGGAAGCGATGGCCTCAACGGCGAGGGCGGCCTTCTCACGGAGAGCGGCGTCCTTCTTGTTGGAGAGAGCCTTCTTGATGTCGTCGATGGTCCTGCAGGAAAACACGCTGTTAATATCAATGGCGGCTAAAATATGGCGGTACAGCGACAAAAAAAAACTTTTCTTCCCAGTGAACTTTCCACTAACGTGGCCACTGAATAGAGGGGTAGCCAGCGGAAACCCCGCTGTGAGTGGCGGGGCACTCGTTGGCCAGGTAGGAAGATTAGAGGCCAAAAAAAGTTTTCCCCGCCAAAGAGAGAAAAAAGAGAGCAAAGTAATGCCAAAATTTGAGTGTATCGCTGGGGACAAACTTACTTCTCAGGGACGGCCTGGTCATCAATGCGGCCATTGATGAAGCCAGCGAGCTCTCCAGCGGACTGCTTAATGTCCGCCGCCTCCTTGGAGACGGTGAGCTTCTGGAAGAGCTCGTCCAGGACCTTGAGGGACTCGGCACCTTCGTTAGGCATATTGGCGGTGGTGTAGAAATAGGGTTATAAAAGTCGGAGGATAAGAGAATCGAAGTCGATTTGAATCTGTCGATATCTACCAAGGGCAGTAAAGACTTTTCAATCGAGTAGTCAACAGAGACGATGGAGGATTCGACTCTGCCTGTTGTTGTCTTCGAAGACGTTGCTCGATGGGGAGGAACCAAAGAACAACTTGTCAAGGACTGTGTAAAATACAAGTCCGAGGTTCGTCGAAAGAGATGACGACCAAATATGAGAAATAATGAAAGGAGATGGAGGTAGTGAGATCAAAGGAGGAAAAAAGGTGGGAGGGCGACAAGTTTTAAAAGGCTGCGGCCGCCCAAGAGCCAGCTTTGAATCCACAACTTTTTTTTTTCGCGGGGCGTGTCGCTAAAATCGGGCAGCCCAAAAAGATTTTTTTGCTGCCCCTCCATTGGGCGCTGAGGCGGGCTTATCAGCTTTATCAGTGCCGCGCTAATCCCGATAGGATGACACATGTGGTGAGGCAAAGGCGGTGAGGCGTTTGGGTACAGAATTTGAGAAAAAATTGCTGTGGCTGTCGAAACAGAAGGAATTCGATGTGCAGCGAATTTTTCTTCTAGCTTTTTTTTTTGCCGCTCGACGGGGTCCCTAGTCGTCCCTAGAGGTACCTTTGTACCCCAGCATTGGCCTCAGTGGCGGAGTTTGAAGTCTGAGAGTTCTCTCCATCTTGCTTTATTGTGTTAAGGAACAGAGTTAACAGATACTGCGTCAACGAAGTATCAACTCCGAGACTGCGAATGGCTGCCGTAGCCCAAGCCTCTCGCATCTGTGGAATTCTATTTGAAAAGGCATCCTCCTTGGCCAAACTCTAGTGACTTTACAAACGTAGCATCTCCTTCTCCCGTTACCTGGCAGTGGCTGAATCGCGAATACCTCCTCTAGATTCAGGGGCGAATGAGTTCAGTCTTTGCAGCTTTTGCCGCCAAAAGCCTCATGCTCTTCTGCCACTGATCTGTACACTACTCGGCTATATGGCGCGGTCATGCTGCAAGTAGGGACTGGTGGGGGACAGGGCAAAATGCTCCCTTGATCTGCCGCCACGCATTGCTATAAGATAGATTGCCATCCCCTATGGCCGATGGTGTGTCTCACATCTCGCCCAGCCGGATCCGCCCCTGCATATGGAGTGGTAAGATGGTGCTACTCCAAGCTTACTGCCAGTTACGAAGGGCCCAAGTACATGTACGCAGTACTTGTAGTCGTCACTCATTGGCCCTTCGTGACATGTACTGCTGGCAACGCTGCTGCGAGTTCTGGTTGGACCTACAAATATGATTTATGCATGGACCGAGGCGGTGTCAGAAGCTCTCGCACTTTATCGGCTTCGCCGGACTAGATACCTGCTCCCATTTGGTACATCCAGCTCCTTTGCAGAGCAAAATAAGACAACAGGACGGCTGCGTTGTCAGTGCATTCTGCCTACTGCCTCCTCGTATCGCTGTGTGTGGTCAGTCTGGGCATAACACTCCGTGCCGAGTACTGGAGATGTCACACTTGACCTACAGCTGCCCTCCTTGTCCATCTTCGCGGTGACGGTGGGGTTGGCAGAAAAAAGGATACTCCCCAAATAATCTCGGCCTGCCATTCCTGTCCAGCTTTGTCGCCACGTTGTCACAGCCAGCGAGCCTCAGTGGCTAGATTTGGGACGGCGTGGAGAACCGTCCCGGGCTAGCATGTGCTCCGAACTGTCTTCAGTCTGTTCTGCGCTGTGCTGCCAGCCTCAGATTGAAGCAGCGCCTCGTCGATATCGAAACGCACGTCTCACGCTCGGCCATTGCAGATACACATCCAGGCTCAGCATCCAGGCAAATCGCATCGCCAATTCCTTAGGTCCATCGCCATGATCCACCACTATCGCGGGGCCCCAGAGTCTGCTGCAGCGTCGTTGCCCATGTTAGATGCGGGCTCACCGACTGTCGGATGCGGCATAGGGCACATATAGACGGGGTTCGCTCGTTGGGCGGATTGGTGAGCTAGCGATAGAATTAGCAATTATCTGGGCTTCCAAGTGAAAGCAGATGTAGGTGCTAGTAGGCAATGAAGTTGCATGTACAGCTAAAAGCGCCTTCAGCTGCCACAACACGAATCCAAGGAAGGTGCGACACCAAGATTCATCCATGCTGACTCATCACGGAATGTCTAGGAGCCGCTTATTTCATTCATTGATTCAGCGTTACGATTCCAGAAATGGCACCGCATTATTCTTGGTGAAGTATTATCAGATCATTGTCTTCCATGTCTCGCAGTTTGCTTTTGATACCAACCTCAGCCCAACCGGACTTCCTTTGTCGAACTCTTGGATCACTTCCCATTGTGTAAATACTGTACTGACAAAGTACACCTAGCATTAATTTTGATAGTAGAAACCTTGTAAAGGTAGACTATTGAGAAAGCCAGGTATCTCAAGATTTTTTTTTTTTTTCTTTTTTCTTTTTTTTGGATTCTCTTCCCCTTCCATTAGCTTGATGCCGTAGTGACTTTAGTTATCTCGGATATCCTTGCCAACCCTGGTCTCACAAATTTGTACTTGTTATCGGTTTTACTTTCATAACTTAGGAAGCTTAGCAAGAGTTTTTTTTTGCAGATATCATCTTAAAGGAAACTAGAACAATATATTGTAGTTAGGATAAGCTGCTTAGGTACTTGCTACAATCATGGGCTATTAGTCGGGAGCTCAAAGAAACCGACACAAGACAGCTAAACTACAAAGCAAGGAAGAAGCTTGAACTTCGCGGTCATGAAGTCATAATATTTTAACACTTGTCCATTGATGGTTTGTTTACGCCTTTTTCAACATAAATTGACACAATGTTATCATACATTCTTAGCGCAAAAAGTGCATGTTGATTGCTTCTGTAGATGCTGCTGCGCTCTGTTGTCACGGCGACATACACTAGTCAATACGTACAGACACAACGCCAGTAGATTTGATGAGAAAGTAGGTAGAGTACAAAATAAAGCGCTTTATCAATAAATAAGTAAATTGTGCGTATTTTTATTCTTCATCAAGCTTCAAAGGTTTGTCTATGTGGTTTGAAAGCTTGTTCGGGCATTTGCTTGCCCACCACCCAACATACGCCACCAAGTGTACCTCTCAGCACTGTGGGCCTCCAGTCTCATAACGTCACCACTTCAACTTTCAGATACAGCCTTCCTTACTTCTTCTTCTCTTTCCCTCTCTCCCATCATCTCATTTTTTTAGCGACAACAAAGCCAGAACTCAATGCTACAGCGCACCTCCAGCTCCATCACAGTACTCAAGGTCTTGAAACCAAGCTACCTGCGAATACACCACCTACCTGTAAGTATCAAGGCACATGCCCACTCAAGCTCAACCACAAAATACCAAAATCAAGATTCTCACAAAATCAACAACAGCAACGTCCTCGCCGCGTCTCGTCGCACCACCTCAAGCCATATTCTTCACACCAATATCTCACCATGGCTTCTTTCTCTTCTTCTTCGTCCTCTTCCAGGCCTCCTAGATCCGCCCAAGGCATCCCCACCATCAACCACCTCTACTCCATCAACCGCCTCTCGCCGCCCCAGCCCTCATCGCAATACGCTCCCCCTCACAAGATCACCCCCAATAAAGAAATCAACGACCGCGTCTGCCTCGTCCGCGCAGACATCACCACCCTCCCTGTAGACGCCATCGTCAACGCCGCAAACACCTCCCTCCGCGGCGGCGGCGGTGTTGACGGCGCCATCCACGCCGCCGCCGGCTCGAAGCTCGTGCGCGAGTGCATCACCAAGTATCCAGACGGCTGCGACACCGGCCAGGCCGTCATCACCGGCGGATACAACCTCCCCGCCAAACACGTCATCCACACCGTGGGCCCCATCTTCCGCAGCTCGAGGGTGAGCCAACCGCTCCTGCAGAGCTGCTACCTGCAGAGCCTCAAGGTCGCCGAGGAGAATGGCTGCTCTAGCATTGCCTTCAGTGCCGTTAGCACTGGCATTTACGGGTATCCGAGCAACATGGCATGTGCTGTCGCCTGTGATGCAGTGAGAACGTATCTTGAGCAGGACACAACGAATCAGATTAAAAAAGTGGTGTTTGTGACATTTCTAGACAAGGATGTGAATGCATACAACAATATACTTCCGTAAGAAGCTCCCAGCTTTCAGTGTGAGAACTACCTACTAACGCTTCGAGAAGCCACTACTTTCCTCCCACAGACCGTAATGGGCTAGAAGAGCCTCTCAGCGAAGACTAAAAGTTGGGCAGAAGGAAACGGAAGCAAAGATTGGTGAACTTTCGGCTAGGACATCTGATTAAATGAAGCACAGGACGAGTGCATATGATTATGATTATGAAGCGTCATGTCACGTTGAACTCGGTTCTTTCTAGGTCTTTCAAAAGGAATTCATGATTAAAAAAGCCAAAATAACATCCGTTTCTCCTCCCTAAAAAATGCAACGCGCAAAGTCATTCATACATTGAGCATCATCACCTGTTCGGCCAAGTCCCCATGTCCAAGCTCAGTCCACGACATACAAAAGAGTGCGACCCTGCTCTGGTAGCATTTCATCAAATCAGAACCATATGGGTATATATACGCCCTCTTTAGACCAAAGATTATTACACACAGTCGTCACTCCTTTGCTGCACTTTTCACGCCAAGCCCAGTTGCTTAGCTACCACCGCTTGGGCCACCTTGTGCTCCCTTGTTCTTCTTTCTCCGTCTTCTCTTCTTCCCCCCTTGAGAAGGCTGTCCACCCTCAGCTGCAGCTCCACCAGGACTGTCAGGACTAGCATCTTCGGCTTCAGGCTCTTCAGTGTCAGCGCGTGCAAGAGGTTCCGGTGTTGCGGCTTCAGGAGCCTTGGATGATGTATCTTCAGGCGCCTCGAATGGATCTTGCCCTTCACTGGGCTTAGGCGTCACATCTTCAGGAGCATCGGACGGTTCATCTTCGGGAGCCTTGGACGATACAGCTTCAGGAGCCTTGGGGGCTTCAACTCCAGGAGCCTTGGAGGATGCGCCTTCAAGAGTTTCTGTTGGCAAATCCTCAGGAGCCATGAATGGAACGTACTCGGGAGTCTCAAGGGGAGCACCTTCTGGAGCTTGGAAGGGCATCGCTTCAGGGGCTTCAGGTGGTATATCGTCAGGCGTCTTGAACGGAACATCCTCAGAGGAATCAAAGGCGATGTCTTCTGATGACTTGAAAGGGGCATCCTCGGGGGCTGTGGATTCATTGGTGGCTGGTGCATCTTGAGTCTCTTCTTCAGCCTCCGGTTCAACCTCCGGTTCAGCCTCGGATGAGTGTGTAAAAGGATGCGTAGGTTCCTCGGTTAGCTGAGCCAATTCTTCAGACGGCTTGACTGGCTTTGCAGATTCTTCAGTAGTTTCAATCAACTGTCCGGAGCTGCTCTGGCCTGGTTCCTCTCTTGTATCACCCGATGTGCTTGCATGCTCATGTCCCGCATCCTTTGCAGTTTTACCAGCAGGGTCGCTTTCCTCATGTGTAGATTCAAAGTAGGAGGTTTTGAATTCATCGTGGGTGCTGCCATCTCCAATTTTGGTATCCTGGCTGGTCGGATATTGGACATGATCACTAATATCAGACAGCATAGACCTTAGCTGGGCGATCTCACCTCGGAGCTTCTTAATCTCAAGAACAGCTGGGTCCACCTCCAAGTTGGGTTTGACAGCCTCGCACTTCTTGGCCCAGCCTTCGTCTCCAAAGTCAACTTCGTGTGCCAACTGCTCCCACTCCTCAATGATATCATCATCTTCTTCTCCACGAGCCCGATTGCGGCGGATAGCGTACGCAGTACGAGTCTCGAAGAAGGCTGTGATCAAGAGAAGTGGAGAATACAAAAAGCCCATGACGCAATCATTGACAAATTCGTAGAGCTTCTTGCTCATCCACCATTCAAATAGAGCCGAGATTACAATCTCTATCAAGTTGAATGGAGCAATATAGACATTTTCATCTGGGGCCCGAACAAATTGCATTGTCTTTTGAGCGAAGAGGGCCAGATATTCATCATCCGCGTTGTCATAGATATCCTCATAAGCAGAGTTGTAGAGTGCAATGAGGATATTGAGAAGAATGACCTAGCGATGTATGTTAGCAAAGAACATCGAGACGATACTGTTGAAATTGGGCTGAATAAACGTACCATGACGATGAATGTAAAACAATAGTACAGAATAGCACCCCAAGGTGGCCCGAAGCTATCGAAGCCATCAAACTCTGGGCTGCCAAGAATAGCTCTCATCATAGACTCAATGATGAACACTACATCATCAGCCACATTGTCGTCGGTAAGATCAAGGCCGATGAAAGCCTGCAAGAAGCCGATAATTATGACGATGAGAAGAGCGAAAAATATCACAGACTCCTTCATCATGACTTTGAGAACCACGAGCATTGCGCCAAAGAACCTGAAGCTGTCCAGGTAGAGCAAGAGGCGGCACCAAAACATGGGGGCCGTAAAGGCCAGAATATTGTATCCCAGGGTGCTGTAGTACATCCGACCATCCGTGTGAGTTGCAAAGGTCAAGCCAATGATGCGGAATATAAAAGAAGCCGTCAAAAACGCATATAAAATAGCATTGAACGCATTCCAGAACCCCAGAATCTGAGGTCCGGCTTTGTAAACCTTGAGCAGTTCGTCGCAGACATAGCCAAGCGTAAAAGCGTACAAGGCTGCTTCAGCGATATCGATGACGCCACTAGCGTTGACGGTATTGATGGCAATTGTAAAGAGGGCAAGATAGATGAGCGAGAACAAAATCTGGGCAAGATTTTGGTTTCTGGGGCTGCGCATCCGGTCCGGGTCCATATGAACAAAGAATCTAGTATTATCCTTCTTATCATAATCCACGAAGACGGACGGATCGTTCTCGTCTTGGACTAGCCAACCACGCCATAGATAGCTGATGCATTTCTGGTATCCTGAAGATCCAATGACTCGAACGGCGTGCAAGTCAACGGCCTTTTCAATTACATTGACGGGAGGAGTTGGAAGGCCGTTTGCAATATACGAGTATCGACGCAATAGCACGGAGTGTAGGAGGTACGCAGTGTCCTCTTCTTCCTCGATACTAGTCTCGTCATTAGCATGTTAGACAAGGTAATGGATACCGACAACGAATTGTCTCTTTAATTCACGTACAGAGCCTTTGCTATGACGCCGCACGCTTCTGCTCGGAGATTGTGCAGACTGGCATCCCAGAGCTCGACATTGGCTTCATGCGTGAACCAGCGTTGATTGACGAGCAAAGAGTAGACCTAGCACGATCAGTGGGTGATGTCCGCAATAGATGGTAGCATGTTTCCAAATATATCCACGTACCACACAACCCTTGTTCTCTTGACCGCCTGCTTCCTTGGCAGCCCGAACCACGTGTGGCGTGATGATGCGGCTGTGTGCTTCTGTGATTCGACTTTCTTCCATCTCGCACGGCACGCACTCTTGGACCAGGTGCCTTAGCCGAAGGCATACTTTTGTAACTTCGGCCGGGACAATGGCAGAGTCTATTTCCTCATTGCGAATATGGGGAAGAACTATGGCCAGGGTACCGAGCTCTTTGTTAGCAGGGCCATCTCCAGGGCACGAGACAAGGACTAAAGTGCCATTGAAGGGGCTTTACTTACGAGCACGCTCTTCTTCGTGAAGCCAGTGACGGCCAGAGTGGCTGCCATGTCTATTGAAGCCAAGGAGGCGATCAATGTTGCGCCAGCGGTTGCTGCGAGGCATGACGACGACGATCGAGAGACGGTGAGCGGTACAGCGGATGCAACAAAATGCCCAGGCGGCTCAGAAGCCTCGCGGCCGTGTCAATTCGCCGTGCAGGTCAAAAAATGAGTACAGAATGCTAAAAACAGCGAGCAGCAGACACCAACCGCGCGGCGGCGAAGAAAAAGCTGAGGCACTGCAGCAATGCAAGCTGGGTTGAAGGAGCAAAAACGAGGTCCAACTCGACTATGTAATGCTGTCGGGTCACCTTGTTTTTAGCGGACAAAGCGATGGATACCTTACCACTGCCCTAGCCAGGGAGCAGCGTCTAGTTTTGCTTAAGCTTCACGGCACCGGCAGGTCGTGCATTAGCTGATAGCAGCGTGAAAGCCGCCTGAGGAGGGCCTGAACAGCGCTTATCGCTGTTATGCAGCTACAGCCGCCAGCCGCTAGCACCCCGCATGACGCAACAGCACCGCCAGCTGCCTTTCCTGGAGCAGCCTAGCATCGGCTTGCTGCCAGCATTAGCGCTTCTTCAGCGTCTCTGGCAATCGACGATGGCTCCTGTAGACGGCGAATTGAATGCTGGAGGGATTGAGCATCGAATTTTCTAATGCCCCGTTGCTGAGGTCATACTGTAAAAGTTGGGCGCTAACGACAATGATTCGAGCAGCATACCGAGGTCGTATCTCAGACTGCTGCCCGTTAATTAAAGACTCATACATTGCCGCCGCGCATTGCTACCCAAGGCCGCAAAGCGCAGCAAATCATGTCTGCCGTGCTGCGGCCTGTCGGATGTTATTTTGCCCAATGTCGGATCTGGGCAGCTTCTCGGGCTTCCAAGAGGCTCAAGGAATCCTGCACGCTCTCAACTGATTCGAGCCAAGCCATGTGCTGCAGAATGTTACATGTGAGGGAGAGGCCGCCTATGAGACACTTTGGGTGAGACACATGGCTCTGCGGTTGGGCGAATTAGACGCATGTTGCACGGCTGTACGAGTAATTGAATGCATGAAACTGTCGCATGTTTTGCTCCGGTGTCACGCATGTTGAAAATATCTGGCGCCTCTTCGGTGGATACCGGGTAGATATACATAGTAATGTATGCAGCTGCCAGAGGGATATATCGTGATCGTGGTGCCATATCATAGGTGCCGAATGTGGTGTATGTTGTGATTGGAAGACGAATATGCCTCACTATTTGCTATCTGGCAAGTCGTCAGTGTCAGAGGCATCATGCATATCTGTGTATCTGACACTACCTAAGTGTAGTTGGAGCCGGAGTATCTTCACAAGCGGGTCAGTATTAGCCGCTGCATGGAGATCAGCATTTGATGGTCCATGGTATTCTCGAAATTCCATTATATTATCGATACAGTAGGTACTCAGTAGGTACATGTACATGCATGCACCCAAGGTTTCTAGTCTCTCGAAGAAGTTAATAGAACAAAAGACGACTACGAAATGAAAGGGAACTTCTCACGTTAGAAGACACCATATATAAAGGTTATACCTAGTTCTATTGATATCTAGTACTGAGCTAACATAAAACCATAAGTAAGGAATATTGTACTACCCCTAAGCCATTTCTGTGCCGATTGTTGCGAGAACGTTTAAGCAATGCAAATCATAGACTGCGCAAACTGAATGGGAAGTCCATTGGAGTCAAGAGGAACATGACCGCAGTTACCAGCCACTCCAGTGCCCTCAGTTGACACACTGGCGATTTCGTTCTGACAATTTGTATCAGAAAACATCCGGCAGTTGACATCGTTGGAAAAAGAGCCTCTGGCAGCAAATATAGAAGTGAATGCACTAAACACAAAGCAGTTTCCTCCATTGGTAGGAACATAATTGCCCAATTCGCCTTCACAGTTGATTCCATTGTAAAAAGAAACGCAATCTCCGAACCAGGGGTTGCAGGCTTTTGCGTGTGAGCCGCCAGCTGCTGCTGCTATGACGAGGGTAAGACTGAACTTCATGTTTGCGGGAGAATTGGGCTGCAATACGTTAGTAAATGGATTCCTATAAGAAAGATCCAATAAGGGATTCTTACATGAGATAATTTTAGGTATTAGATGGAGAGAAGGAAAAGATTAAATTGCGTGTATATGTCTTGGTGTAGCGTATTTGAATACCGATATGATTGAGAATTTTGTTAATTTATAGTAACAACGTATGTACTTGGAAATAAATATTACGTCCATTATTGGCCTGCCTAGAGGTAGTGCAAGATAATGTCAGTTTTAATCCATCTCTCCATTTAATGGAATCTTGGGATTCCAAATCAAGTCAGCACTTGGGTTTATTTATATCTTTGTAGTCTGTATAGCGGGACTTTGAGGCTTTGCATTGAGATAGTGTAAAAAAAACCACGTAGTTTACAAAATAGTGTAGCAGGTATACTAACTTTACTGCGGGCGCTATTTCGCGTATCTCGTTTATTGGTTCTCTCATACAACCAGTCATCAAGCTGCATATATTATGGGAAAAGTTATCCTGCATCCAACATTGAAGTTATATCACAGTACTCAGCTATAGCTTAGTTACGCAGTTAGTCTATATATAAATCGCCGCCATCATTTGACTAGGTATTATATACGCCTAGCAGTAGTAGCAGTAGTGGCCTATTGATGCTATAGCTGGAGTGCTGGATAACAGAGTCGGGGGAATGTATAACTTCTCCCTATATCATTGGGCATTAATTCACGCACTACGTCTGGCTGCCTGCACATGGTGCACATGTACTCAGCCTGTAGGATAGAATTACTAGTAGTAGCAATAGCTTCTTAGTAGTTGATGGGAAAATGCTGCACATGAACAAATCTGCAATCTGTACCTGTCTATCACTGCTTCACACAAGTTTAGCAAGTGAGATCATGTCCAAAGCGAATGATCGCAGCTGGCCGTACCTTCTATCACCTACTCTGCCGAAACTATGTTTGGCATTGTTAAAATGTTATTCAGATTTGTAGCCAAACTTGAATCTTCAGTCTTCAGTCACCATATCTTCATATTTACCAAACATCCACTTTGAACCATCGCTTAGTAGCATCTGAAGCTCTCCCAAACCAGCAAGATATTTCATCGACTCAAAACTAGCGTCCCGCATCAATTCGAGAGTCGCAAAATTGCCATGGACAGCCCAAAGAAAGAGAATGCAGTCAGAGACGTACTCAGCCCAGTTTTTTCTCATCCAAATAAAGGTGTCAGCGATATAGACCAGAGCTTTGCTGTTATTGGCAGTAAGCATCATTACAGCCGGGCTGTCTGCGGTACCTCAGAAGATGGTGCTTATTCTTCATCCGAATCTCTCGAAAGAACCTCCTCACCAGCGAGAAAACGCAGAAAGGCGACCCGAAATGGAGCGAAAGAACTACCACATGGATCAAGAATTGCAGAACAACGTGACGAACTCGTTCAATCCGTCATCATCCTTGGCAGCAAGGTTGACCCTTCACCCCCAGCATACCGTGATTGGCTGCTATTAAAGTCAGAAAATCTTCAAGAACGTTTGGACGAAGGGTTGCAAAAGTTCATGGACGAAATGGACGGCGGCCACTCTCCATGCATGCACCTAGATCCACCAGCGACGTCCCCATCTTATGTTTATACCATGAACAACAAAGGCTCACCTAACAGCAGCATGAATTTGGATAAACAGTGTTTAGACTCGCCGCCCGTACTGTCGCCAGGAGCTTCAATTTCGCCCGTGCCTTCATCTGTATCTACGCCTCGAGTTTCATCCAAGAAGTCGCCATTCATTAAACGGGAACAGAGCACAAAAAGCGAGGCGACTTATTCAGAGCGTCGGGTTTCGCCGAAATTCAGACGCGTCGATCGCTACTGGGATGCGACAGAACAGAAATACATAACCATGGAACCCGCAGCAGAGCCTAGCCATCGCGATGCCGCTCAAGTAGAGAATGCCTTTTTCGTGATCCGTCGAGATTTGAATTGCGACAAAGTCCACGTTAAAACTACTGTAGAGATCAGAGACAGCTCGCTCAGACGATGCCTCCAAAACGTCATAGGAAATATCTCTGGTGTCAACTTTGCCGAGGGCAATCCTGTACTTGATCCAAAGACTTTGTTTCTGTAAGTAATGCTTGGAACTACCTACCTATACTACTACCTATCCATATTACTTGATTTTTTGTACTAAATTTGTTGCACTTCGATAGCTACCTGGATGATTTCCGAAGCCATTACGAATTGGCGGAAGCCACACTCTATAACATAAATGGGTGTCGGCCGAAGGAAAAGTGGGATGAGATTTTCGAAAAGAGGAGATGTCTAGGAATTCTTATCGAATACCTGGAACAAGATTTTGCAGAAGCCAAAAGGAATCTCGATTCAATGCTGAGCAAAGGAGTCATAACATTTGACTTATCGTGGGCACTCTGGAAGCCCTCTACGCTGATATACTCGCCTACCTATCGATACCATGACGTTCCCAGTGTGTCTGTAGTGAGTTGTACAGACAAACGGAAGAGCCAGTCTTCAACAGACTCGCAATATTCTGTGGACTCTATATTTGTCGACTTTGACGGCAAAACGCTTGCCTACAAGCCATTGAAGAGAGAGATTCAGCATTTCAATGGTGCCGTCAACATCACCAACCTTCCGTTCTACCCACTTCAATACCATAAAGACGAAGTCCAAATTCGCCGTTCATTAATCGAACGCGGAGCCAAATTTGTATCACTTCAAGGAATACATCACAAATCATTTACGGGGATCGCGTTCCAGCTGGTCGACGGTAAAAATGAGACAATGGCAAGATGTCTCGAGGAACAGAGCAGGATAATGGTAGATCCAGTGGGCTTTCGAAAAGCACATCCGGAGTTTTTTAAGATAAGAGACTTGCCGAGCCAATATACGACTGATGACGAAACTTTCAACGACGGTGTCCAACCCCAGAGTCTCATGGACCTATGTACTGAAACGGCGGCGGATGACCAGCATAACCTTGCAAGCGATGTGGAATTAATCAACGACTCACACATCAGCTCAAACACATCACCACAGAGGGAGTACACGAAAAAAGCAAATCTAGAGATGGCAACGAACAACCTTTTGCTTATATGCTCCCCCGTTGTAGTGGGATATTCTCTTGCTAGCTTGGAATGGCTAGAGTTTGATGTGCGTGGAATCGAAGAAGTCAATTGGAATGAGGAAGCATGGGATTCTCTTGTACTTGATGAGAAGATGAAAGAGTTGATAAAGGCTTCCGTGGCGTCTCGCGTCTTTAACTCGGCATTTGACGTCAATAACCAATTGCTGGCGAAGAGGAAAGGGTTGACCAGTGAGTAGCTCAGTCCGCACCACTGGGAGGTGAACTTGTTTCCCACTCACTGCACAATTGTACTGACTATTGGCCAGTAGTGCTACATGGTCCTTCGGGGACTGGAAAAACACTTACAGTGACAGGGCTAAGTGATCAACTAAGACGCCCTTTGTGGATGCTGCCAGCTAGAGAGCTCATAGGATGCTGTGCTGTTTCGGTCGATTTGGTACTAGATAAGCTCCTGGCTACTTGCCAGAGGTGGGATGCTATTGTAGTTTTTGATGATGCCCACATATTACTAGAAAAATATGACTACCTTGGCGCCGAACGGAATAATTTGGTAGCCACCGTTTCACGGCACCTAGAGTCTTTTCGAGGCATCATCTTCTTAACATGCAATACCATCCAGGTAAGTTGAGCAATACGCGCGATAAACGACCACTAAATGCTGTTACATGCCACATTGAAACTAACAATAGATCAAGGTATTCGAAGAGGCATATCAATCGCGGATTGACTTTGTCCAAAAGTTTGAAAAGCCAGACAGAAAAGGTAAAAGCATCATCCTCGAGCGAGCCATTCGCCGAGTTACGGGTCAGGATCTCTGGAAGACCGAGGCATTCAGTGATAAAGACTATGGGAAACTCGTGGAGAACAACCTCAGTGGCCGCGACGTTGAGCGAGCAGTTGAGCTGGCCCTGAGTTTGGCAGAGGCGAGAAAGGAGGCGCTCGGGGTACGGCATTTGCGGGATGTCATGGATATGCAAGAGAAGTTTAGGTGCGATTTTGGAAGGAAGGATTATCGGGATTACTTTTCCTAGTCTTGATTCTTCTGGGGTAGATGCGTGAGGAGGGTTTGTCTTTGTTTTGTGGTACACTGTTTCTCCTTGCTGACCGTATGCTTTATAATATTGGTAGCCTACCCCCTTTCTTTTCTTATACGTGTAATGATAACTGTTTAGGTCTCGTCGTGTAGCACAAGAGCAGCGGAAGAAAGAATACTTGTACGAAGGTTTACTGCGCGTCCTGACACATAACTTATATTGAGAGCATAACCAAGTAGCGCACTGCATAGTGGTGGATGCTCCATATCGTTTCATGTTAATCGATATCTTGCAGTGCCACGTAGTACGCACAGTACCAGGTGCCACGAAGAATCAACGCTTATGACATGATTGATAGAGCTTTATACGTTGAAGCCTCAATAAGAGCCCTTCACATTGCATACAGTCACCAGACAAAGAGCGGGATACCGGCTTGTCTCTGTTGCCAGAGCTAGTAATGGGATTCTTCATTCTTAGGGTAAGACATGATATGAGATCACCCAATGCCATTGTCTACTCCGTATTCGTGGCGAAGCATTTGACTCCACAAAGCTCGCCGAGCACATCGAACCGTCAGTGCTGTGTATTCAGCATGCACTTGCTTATACGCACTTGTGCTTGTGCAACCCGGAGCGAGAGCGTACAGTATTGGTATAAGTCCCAATCCTTGTCATTCAGATAGTCTACAGTAGGCATGCACTGTCTGCCCCCCGGCGATTGTTTGCTAGAACTCGTGATCCAAGGATAATAAGCTTTCCTTCATTTGCAGAAGAGGAAAGGCTGCAGAACATCCTCGTAGGGGGTCGAACGTTGACACCGTTTATAGAATGCCAAAGGAAGGGCAGTCGAAGGGGTGGACGCGCGGATCCGATTGCTGCGGCTGGGTTGTTGTGGAGACCCGGAAGCCGGGATATGCACTTGTACGGAGAAGAAAAGGAAGAGGATGGATTCAAAGGGGGGAGGCGGAGCCGTGTGTCAATGCGTTTATAGGAGAAGTGATGAAAACAGGGAAATCGGAGGAGAAGTAAGAATAGCAGCAGCGGGGATAGAGGAGACGAGATTGGGACGGTGGTCTGAGTTAGAATAGATTGTGCAGTACAGTATGGAGAATTGGAGCTTGGAGCATTGATATATGTGCGAGGACAAATAAGCGGGATTTGACATGTCTTGGTGAGGTTCAAAGGGCGGTGACGCGGTGGTTTCGCGTGATGAAGAGGCTGGAGCTGAATGGAATGCTAGTGCAAAAATAGGCTGTGGTGTTGACGGTGTTTTGGGGTGAAGCACTATTGATTCAATTCAATAGCTGCAGCGCCCCGAGTCACTTGGTGAGTTAGTACTGCTAGCAGACCGAATTTGCAGCCAATGTTGCCATGGATGAATTGAATTGTAAATGGACAAGAGAGAAAGAGAAATAGAAGCAAGGAAAAAATAATAGCGCGATTAAACTTGTTATTCCAAAGGTGGCGATACAAAAGCGCTGTGCATAAACGCGAATACCTCAAATCAACTCAATACGAGCACAACCTTGGAATCAAACACAAATGACTAAGAGCTGAATGATGAGAACTGCCGATTCTTACCGCCTACAGCGTCTGGAGACCCAGTGGTTAAGGATTTTAGCCGTTTGGCTTGGCTTTTGGCGGCCCCGGCAACCCGATGCAGCAAAGGCTCGATTTGACACGAAATTGCTTCGCAGGGGGGGCAGAACGAGCTCATTTCGCTTTTCGCGCTGCTCCCCCTCGTCAAGCAGGCGAGATTCGAGAAAGCTACTGTACGGGGTAGTGGCGGCAGGCAGTAGGTAAGTGTAAGGTTCATGGAGCCATTCATGCTTTTCTGTTCATTCCAGAAGGCGCCTGGGCGACGCGAAGTTTGTTCGTTTGCGGTCTTGGCGCAGATGGCTGGGCGGTGGGCGGTGGACGATGAGGGAAAAAAGGGTCAGAAGACGAGGATGTTTCACCTTTGAGGCCTGACTGAGCAGTGACGGTGACGGGTTGTCGCTCAAGACAAACTGTGAACAGGCTGCGACGGGAAAAATCCATTGAGAGGTTGAGGGGAGGCACAAGGGTTGGGAGTTAATTTGGTAATTCGCCTTGGCTTGATGGTTTTCAATGAGTGGTGCAGTCAATCACATGTATAAGGATGAAAGAAGCTAGTAGAGGTACTTGCAAACTCTAATAAAGCCCGACGCCATGGTGGTACCGAGTACGTAGCTTCAACCACCAGTACTAAAACGACAGGCATTCATTATGGCATCCATGCGCACATCGCGCGGTGGATCGTCAACGGCCATTGTGTATAGCGTCAAAGTCCGTGTAAACAGTCCGGTTTCTGTCACACACGGCGGTCAAGCAAAGCACACAAATTGTAGCGCACAAAGAGAGAATTTTCAAAAACCACAGCAGAAATCTCCTCGCACATCCATGACAAACACTCACCAAGCACAACGCAGCAGTCCAATTGCTGCTCTTCTCCTCTTGTGGGCTGACGCGGCGAGATCCAGCGCTCAAGCCGGCTCCACCGCGAAGCTGAGCCAATGGCGGCCGGCGGGTACCTGGTGGTTCCTGGACCACTGCACTGACAGGGGTCTCCTGGGCAGTTTCATGGGGGCAGCATCGCAGATTTAGGGGGCCGTGGACAAAGACTTTTACGAGCCAGGCGTGGCCACAGAGCGCTAGAACGTGCTGCAGCCGGGTCCAATCACGGATCCCTTTCCCCCCCTGCCGCTGAACAGTCCCCTGCCGCATGCGGTACGCCTTAATAACGGGCGGCTTTCCCTCCTCCCTTCGTTCCTATTTCTCTTCCTCCTCACCCCGTCTTTCACTCTTCCTCAGAGCCATTCCTTAACAGCAGAAACATCGCCGGCGCCCTTTTTCAGCGTTCGACAACACCTTCTTTTAGCACCTACAAAAGCACTTTGCGCATCCAGTCGCCCAACCGCTCCTTCAGCCAAGTACAGACGCGCAAGCCGTATTCTGGGAATACCTAAAGACGATCGATCACTCCTTTGGATATATCAAGTACACAGCATCTTCAAGTTCTCGAACAACAACAACTACCGACATCATGAAGTTCTCCACCACCTCCGTTATCCTGGCTGCCGCCCTCGGCGTCTCTGCCCACCCCAGCGGCCACGTCCACCAGCGCGCCCACAACTCTGTCCAGGCCCGCGGCGACTTCGTCATGGCCAACAAGCCCGCCGTCGCTCCCACCTCTACCAGTGCTCCTGTCGCCACTCCTACTCCTTCTTCTGCTGCTCCCGCCAAGGACGCCACCTCTGGCGGCCAGGGCACCGGTGTCTCGACCTACACCAAGTTCTGCCAGGGTGGTAACAGCAAGCGTGCTACCGCCGCCGAGATTGCTTATAAGGGCAATGTCGGTAGCGGCGGTGACTACGGATGCAACATCATCGCCGTCCAGAACCACCTCGTCTCCCAGTACCAGTACACCATGGTTTTCAACAATGAGGGCGACGACGCTGAGTGCGCGTGCTGGAACAAGATTGGACCTGATGGCGGCATCAACGGCTTCTTCAACGGCAACGAGGCCATGAAGTTCTCCCTCCCTGCTGGTGGCAAGCAGACCGTCGCTGTCGACAGCAACTCTCAGATCGGCTGCACTTGCGGCGCGGGCAGTCTCCCTTTGACCCCCATTGGCCAGTTCGCCGGTACCTGGATCGAAGGTGATGTCGGCAACCTCTCCAACGGCGGTTGGTCTGGCTGGGATGCCTCTTCCCTCGTTGCCGCCGCTGCCGGCATGGACATTCCCGGCCTCAATGTCTGCGGAACTGGTGCCCAGGAGGGCACTTGCTCTACCATCTTCCCCGGCGGCACCGGCAAGAATGCCTTCATTGCCGGTACTGCAGCCATGGATGGTCTAGGCCTCAACAGCCCCCCCGGCCCCCAGTCCGTCATCGTCACCGTTGGATTCAAGGGTTAAGTTCTCGATTCTCACTGGAAGACGTTTGGAGAAGTGGAATAGAGAAAATCAGTTGGGCCAGGGTTTGGAATTTACTTTACATGATTTCGGAATTTCTTACGTGGAGAATATCTACGGTGTTTTTGGTGTGTGGCTTTTGCGGATTCCCCTTCGATACCCATCGAGTGTATGGGAACAAAAACCACTCAGAGTTACTCGAATCCGTGCTTTATATATATATATTACGGTTCTTTTATATATATAATTGAAATGTTTATTTGATCTTTTTAACTTGTATGAATCATGTTGCTAAAGTTTATTTCCCCAATACGTGATCATCCTTGAGCTTAATTCCAACTTTCTTTTCGAAACAATAGAGAAAAGTGGTGAATGGCGTTGCACCATTCCACTCGCACATTTTTTTTTCTTATTGTACCTTGGCAACTTGGACATGTTGCGAGTTTACTATTCGTGTGAGCTTCAACTAAGCGGTGCGCCATGGCGTTTTCCTTTCCGTTGGTTCCTGAGCTTGCACAACTCGCGTAGCTGAAACGGACTGGGCCTTTCAGCCTACTAAACGCCTAGTTCGACCTAGATTCCAAAAGTCCGCCACGAATTCTGACAACATGAACGGAGGGTCCTCATTGATGAGTCGGTATCCTTCTTTTTTTCTCCTCGCTCACGGATCGTTTTTTGTTTGCCGGAAAGTTACCGATCTAGGCACGCTCGTTTGGGCATCCGGTCCGTAACTAATGCAGGTCACAAATTTTTTTCATTCCATGGCCTCCGATTGCACGAGGTGTTGTGAAGCTATTGCTTTTCTGTAAAGCATAAAATCTACCCCTCTTTGAAAAGTGCTCGTTTTTTAGGAGTAAATGGTGGTACGGGTGAGCTTCCGAGTGGTCGGCTAGGTGCACTGCAGGTACATGTATGCATTACACGTCAGACCTTGTAAAAGCAACACTTACATGCACATCACATCACAAAAGAATACAATGTGAGACGAGCTGCAGCGGGTTGGTCGGTTGGCTCGAGTCATTGATGAGTTGGCAGAGGCCGGGTGGGTTTGTGTGCCTTTTGCCACATGGAAATGGATATCTGGTTGGCGGCCTTGTCAGGTACTAGTGGCATTTGTTAAAAACCGGTTATAGCAACGAACAAACCGATTGGTATACTTCGAGGTAGTAATGGCCATGCCAACTGGTGACATACTTTAGCGATTGACGTTGGATCTTTTGAGGTGGAGGCCATCCACCGAATCGGCGCATCTGCTGGAGCTGCCCTTGGCACGCGAGCAATGAAGCTTTCTTGTTTTCACTTGTCGGCGACGGTGGGGAAGGATATGGAGCTTTGAGGCATTATTTTGGTTGGAGAGAGCTGCAAACCTAAGTAAGTAGCTGTTCAGCTATTCTGCTGAGCGGTGGCAAAAAGACATGTGAAGCTAGCATAGACGAGTTTTGGGAATGGGAACCTTGGAAGTGTGTAAGTGGATGGGGATGAGTAAAGATGATCAGCTCTGCGGGACAAAGATGTACTTTTGAATCCATTACTCAGTTGTATTACCATTTATAGTAACAAAAGACAGAATATGGTATTGGACTGGAATTCTGACTAGACGTACAAGTAATGGATGTAAATGTCAGCAAACGCACAAAAGTTGAATTTTGGCAGATTCACTGATCGGACGCTGACTGCCCCGCCTATCTTTTTCACGTACTACTCGTATGCCGACTTAGCCTAACCGGCAGGACTACACAAACTAGCAGCATCTTACGCCAATTGACGAGTCAACTTCTGCAGCCGTGTGTAAAAAGATGTTTGCCAGCTGCTTGTTTCTATTACTTCGAAACCACATATAATAACAAGTCCTCTACATTCTTATTGCTAGTATTGGTAATTAACTACTAAAGACTTGAATCATTAATAGACTCATGCTAAGCTGCTCCAGACCCAGCTCGGGTCGGTAAAAATATGCTCCGTAGCACAGTATGGATTAGGCACCCACAGCATAGCCTCAAGACTCGGCTTCAGTTGAGATGAGATTTATGAGTCTTTGCCGAGAGGCCACAAATATGGCAGAGCGACGGCCGTAAATCTCACAAGCCTGGACAATTTTCATTGTCCTTGGCTAATCTAAACAATCATCATGAGATTGGAGATTGCAGGGCAGCCTGAGCCTCAGCTGCCTCCTTGCAGTGACGATGTTGCTATCACTAAGCGGAATATGCTGAAAGAGACACGCCAGAATATCTCAGTATGCGACTCATACATACCCGAGATTGAAAACTTTCTCAAGGCTGTCGAGTCAAAGGGTAAGAACCCGCGGGTTACCGGCCTTCCTAGTTTTATTCGTAAACTGCGAAAAGAGCATGACATCCTTAAACGGGTAGAGTCTGAGCTCGTTGACGAAGAACAAGACGAAATTGGACTTGGTCTGTTAAATAGGAAACTGGTAGCCAGCTCTACTATTGTCAAGCACGGGGCAGTTCACTGGGATATCCTCAAGCGCTGCCGCTCTTTTCGCATCGTCAACCAGGCGTTTCAGGGGTCGGCCAAAGAGGATCGGAAGAAGCAAGTCTCGCGAATCACTGGAGATGGCAGAGACAAGCAACAGTTGAATCGGACTTTAAAAGAGCAAGCCAAGGTGGAAGTTGATGTGGTTGAGGGAGGAAGCGAGTGGCTGGATATTCGATGGCTTCAGGCCGATAGGCTGGCTCGGCAGATGACGGATTGCGGCTGGGGATGGGGCGACTATCAACTGGGAGACACCGTCGACCCTGAAGAGTGGGAAGATACGCCTTTGGCTAAGCAGATAAGGCGGCTGGTTGCTGCGGCCAGGATAAACCGCCACGAATATCGCATTCCCCGCCTGCGAATCGTCTTTCCTAATATCACGAAAGGGGAGAATGAAGATGTCGATGTGCTGTTGGATCAGATAAGCCGTCTCGACCCCCTGGTTGAAATAACTATCGAGGACAGCAGCAGCATCTTCATGAAAACACCATCTCCTCCTCTCCAAGATGCCATCAGAAATCTCATAGGAGACGAGTTTGACGGCCTCTCACACATTCTTAACATGGATCATACCATCCTCGTGGACCTCATCTCCGACATCACTCACTTCCAACTCCAACCACAGCCATGGCAAGCTCAAACCACGCAGCTGCAAATCGAAGAAGAAAGAAGACAGGGCGGCGTCATGGTGCGCGCCCTGTATCCAATCTTACAAGGCCGCAACATCGTCTGCACGCAAGAAGCAGCCGAACACTTCCACGAAGTCCTCAGCACCGTTGGAACGGCCACAGAAAGGGAGCGAGGGAGACTCTTGGTGCCGTATGACGATGAAACTCGCAGCATGTCAAACGAGAATATCCGCAGCCGCTTTGAAGGACTCTCTACTCATCCTCTTCCCCACAACGTCCAAGTTCCCATACGGATTCTGGATGAAACATGGACCATGGCCACCGTTACGCAGGCTGTGATAGACGGCCGTCTTCCCAGAGTTGCTCTTGATGTTGCCCAGTGCGGTGCCTTCAAGAGCTCCAAGCTGAGCATATACATGTACGGCTGGGCGACGGGCAACGTGACCATCACGTCCAACAAGGAAGTTCGCGGCCAGATCCGTACATGGGTCGAGGCCAACAGGAGGGATGACCAAGAACGTGGCCCGATTATTTGGCGTATTGACGTTACAAGGAATTTGCTGGCCAAAAGTGCCACTCCGCCAGCGACACTGAAGGCAGAGAACGGTTTAGGCGGAGACACAATTACACGACAGAGATGACAACCTAGAGCTTTTTCCAGATATATGAATATTATTTTGAGTCTCTCAGATACACAGCCTTTGATTCATACAACAAAACAAACAACCCACACTATTATTCACCAGAGGAGATTCGAAAAATAACACATAAACTCATCACTTGCTATTCAAACTTGACCTCTTACGTCCTCAATATCCCTTAAGTAGCTGCCCGTTACTCCTTATCCTCCGAGCAAACAAGCGCTGTCTCTGTCTTTACTCCCTTCTTCGTCACCGTCTCTACAAACGACGTGATAGTGGGCTCACTCGGCTCCTGCCACCACACAAGCGCACACTGGCCACACGCTCTCTGCTTCGTCTGCGTGACGGTCGAAGTGTACACCGTCTTCGTCGAGCCTTGGTGGTCAGCCTGAAGGGCGTAAGTGGGAATGCAGTCTGGTAGCATCGTCCCGACAGGAATGCCAGTGTGAGAAACAATACCTTGCACTGTAGTTTGAGACGAGGCAGTAGCGGCTGAGGCTGAGGCCGAGACCGCGGCGACGATGCTCTCTGCAGAAACTTTAGTTACAGTGACGGTGGTGATACTCTCCTTTGTGATTGTATTCATGACAGAGGTGGTGGTGGTGGCGGTTGCTTTGGCAGGTTCTTCGATCGAAGTGCTAGTTGTGGGGGTGCCGCACACGAGCTCTGTCTCTGTATATGGTTCCACGGCCGTGACTGTCGTCTTGAATACAGCGACTGGAGGGACGCCGAGAGGGATAGGGATAGGCGAGTTGTTGGTACAAGTGCCGCAGTTGACGATCCTGTCGGTCGTGGTGGTGGTGGTGAAGATGGTGCGGGTAGGGCCGATGTTCAGCTTAGGCACCTGCAAGACCCTAGCAGTGCAGTCTCCATCTCCTTGGAAGAGGACGCCCGAATCATTTTTGAAATCGACATACTCCATCAACTCGTCCGCTGCTCCTCCTCCGAGCTCGCGTTTCTTCGCATCCTGATGTCTCGGGGGCGGAACCTTCCATCCTGAGCAATGAATGTGCGTATAGGTGACCGTCGACTTGAGCTCATTAAAGACGTACTTGAAGTCTGTTGGGCCGATATACCCCGGATGCGGGTGGTCAAAGTTGGTGACATGCATCGCGAGCTCGACATAGGCGCAGCCCGGGCCGCAGTCGACCGCTTTGTGAACCAACTCACGCTCCAGCTTCTCGAAATTGGTGACGGTTATAACGTCCGGCGGCGGCATGGGGATCGACTGTTGCGTCCAGATCCTGGTTGTGGTGCTTGTACAGTAGGAGGTGTATTCGGGATAGGGGTTGAGCCGCCATGGGGGTGCCCTGGTTATTGTGCCGCCGCCCGAAGGGCCCATCTGAGGGAGAGGGTTTGCCGCGACGATGGAGGCGAGGCCGGCTCCGACAAGGGCGGACTTGACTGATAGGATCATGGTGAGAGTTGTTTTGCTTTCTCAGTCTGTGGTTGTATAATCAATACTGGATAAAGGAGTTTGTGTACGAATATATAGGGTGACAGAAGGAAGGGAGTAGAGAAACAAAAAGGGATGGGGTCGGGAAATGTTTTTATGCTTTTTACTCGGTTGGGCTTTTTGGTACGACCATAGCTTAAGCGAAAGAAAACGCGAAAGAGTTACGAATTAGAAGAATTGTAAAAGGCAAATTCTAAAGTTTCGCTCTGGATGATTTACTTTTTCCCCTGAAATTTCCTTGCCCCATAGACTTCGAGGAGGCGTCTCGTACAAGCTTTGGCGCATGTTCGCCACAGACACACTTTTAGCCGTACCCGAGACAAGACTCGACAGTATTGCGGATAGCGTTTATTTCACGCCTTACTGAATTCGAGCTTTGTGTAAGGCGAGACTTAATAATTGCTACATCGCCGGTATTGGACCTGAGGTCTGTTGGGCAGAGGGTCCTTTGGAGCCTCTTGTGCCTTGGTTACCTTATACGTGAGATTCATAGTGTAGATCTACGTACTACTAAAAGAAGGGGAACTGAGATAGATCCAAGTACTTCAAGAGCACCACAGAGGCGAGTGGCGACTATGTCCTAAGATACTGAGCGGAATAATATTTATTTCTCTGAATTAACACGTAGTTGCAAAGCAAAAATGCAAAGTACTAACGTTAATAACCTCTATACTGTAAACTCTGATAGTATCAGATAGATACTTAAGGTACCTACCTAGGTACAGAGTGCTCTCAATGTTCCTTGTATAAAAAAAAAAAAAAAAAAAACTCATTCGGCACATGTATATTACTCACAAGCCTTGAAACTTTAACAAAATAATCTCATTCGCCACGATGTACGGCCAAATCGCAGTATTACAAAAGTTCTCGCAGCATCAAAACAGCCGACCTGACCTTGCCTCCAGCGAATATGCATTCCTATGATGAAACACCACGTAGCCATTGCCCCTAATCCCTCTTTCCATATCTCCAGCCGCTATAACTCGTTCTATTCTCTTTTCAAATACGAGGAGTAGGAGTTGCCAAATAAACTGTTCGGTGCAACGTGCTCGGCGTCGCCACATGCTCACTCGCCGTGATGATCATGGCCGGGCAATGGACAATCGGCACCTCCGTGACTCGAACGTCCGAGCAGCCATGGCAGTCTATCGAGCTCTCCACCGTAACCGTGGACGAGTAGATGCTCAGCGTGCCGTCCCATGAGCATTGCGGCCAGTACGGCGGAGTAGGGAGTCGAGACTGCGTCAGGGTGAGGGTCGTCGTGCAGTTGGCCTGAGGAGCAGCTTCGTTGGGTTCAGCCGTGACGAAGTTTGCGCCGAGGAGGGCGAGGAAGAGAAAGGCTTTGGTAGGTAGAATGGCCATTGCGGGTGCTCGTAAAGTGAAAGGGGCCCTGAGTGTTTCAATGCTAGTGAAGGGTGCTTTTGTTGTTTTCGCCACTTTGTCGTCGTCAAGTATGATTGCTCAATTAGATATGAAAAGAAATGAGACGACCTCTTTTTTATATGAATTTATTTTCTCGTCAGTGTCGTGCGAGACGAGGAGACGAAGCTGAAGGATGGCGGTGACACATGCAAGGGAGGACGAGAGGATCAGCATCACACAAGCCGGAAAGACGGCAGAGATGACAGACACTGACGTAGCAGATGCCGTGGTCACATGCAGCGCATTACAACTTGAAAAGTATAAGTCCGTTGTTCTTCATCCAAGTTGAGATTCAATTGTACAAGTAATTAGTATGTGGTAATATGAGTGGAGAGGCAATCCGAGTTGAGAGGTCCATAGAGTGTGCCAGAGACACTGTCTTATACACTCTGGAATGGCATCCATCCGCCCAACTCCAGAAATAGAAACAGATGCCGCCAATAATAGCTCTTCATCTACATGTAGTTGGTAGCACAAAAATCCCATTAACTTCACAAGGTCCACGCACCCTCATCTACATCTGACCAATCTCAAAGTCCAGCTCGTCCATGAAGTCGCCGCTATCAAAATCAGGATCCCACTGCGGAAACGAAATCCCTTGGTCGCCGTCAAACACCCAATCCTGCATCCAATCCATCGGCATCCCAGACATGGTCGACAGCCCGTCCAGACTCGCTGTTTCATAGTCATCCCACTCGGACGCAGGCAAGCCCTCTCGCTCGGCCACCTCCTTGAGAATCTCAAAGCACTGCTTGCCCATGGCGATCGCCGCCTCGAACATCATGCGCGTCTTGTCCTTGGAGTTCGCCCCGGCCTCGAGCGCCTTGATGTGGGCGAGGCACGCCTCCATGAAGATGATGCCCTTGATGTTTGTCTCGCCGGCGCGGACCCGGCTGAGCTTCCATTCCCGTGTGGCAATGAGCCGAGAGCGCAGGTTGGTGCTGCCCACTGTTGGGAGGTAGCCGAGGCTCGACGCCTGGCCGGTTTTGGCGTGGAAGAGCTCTAACTGGATGTTGATCATGGCCTGCGATGCGACGTGATGGAACATGCCCGTTCCAGTGGTGACGAGTCGCTTGAGGTCGGCGTCCATGGCTTTGCTGGCTGCGGGATTGTCTGGAGACCAGGCATCGGGGAAGCCCCAGATGTGAGTGAGCTTCAATGCGCTGTCCAGACACATCTGCCGAGAAAAGTAGAATTTGGCGTCGTCTAGATACTTGACAATGATGGGCTGGTGAAGTGCGTGAAAGCAGCGATATAGGAAAATCTCCGTCACCAGCACATGGAACTCGGTAATTGGCGAGTTCGGGATTGCTTTGAGAGCCATGAGAGACTCTGAGATGGCTCGGCAAGATTTTGTCAGATCCGAATTCAGTCGCAGCGTTTCCTCGTAGTGATCGCCCGGCCTTGTGTTGTTGACATGGTTGATGAGATTCAGGCGCAGCGCCATCGTCGACTGCAGAGCCCTCAAAACTGACGTCTGAGTCGGCACCTTTGGGCCTTTTGCAATTCCGCCATTGTCCTTTTCGTCAGTGAGTTCGTCGTCATTTAGATTGGCCGGAGGCAAAGTGTCGTAATGGGCTGTGGAAAGCAACGGCGAGCCCCCGGCATCAAAAGAAAACTGCACATTCAGCTCCAAGACAGTTGCCCATAAACGACGCCGCATCTCAGCTCGATATATCGTCATGTCTCCGAGAAACTGAGGATCCCGATGAAGGCCCACAAACATGGCGTTTCTCACCAGATTCCCGGCCATCATCCACACCATGTCTACGCCGCAATTGCACGTGGACTTTGCGAGGAGCAGAAGACACTGGATTTGAATGCCCTCGATATTCATCCTCTTCTTTTCCGGCGGAATCATAAGCCACATCTGGGCTTCGAATATCCACTGCGTCGCCATTGGCCGCAGGGAGAAGAAATCATCATATACGGTTGTCCCAAGCGCCATGACCAGCTGGAGCAGAATGACAAAGGAGTCGTTGGATGGGAGGCTGCCTTCCCAGAACCTCGCATAGTCAGCCCTGAAGGTAGGTATATGAACGACGCGAAAGATGCCTTCAAAAGTGCGCAGATAATTTTCGACGAGCTGATCTGCAAGCTCCCGGGCAGGAATTTGGAGTCCTAAATTAGTAGACGAGAGAGGTTTCAGGCGATGTTTCTTGATCTTGCGCCCAAGGCCTTTGCATTTTCCAAGTGACTGATATAGATCCCCCTTGTTGATCTTGTCTTGTCCAAGGAGGTCTTGTTCCATAGTGAGCTATCAGAGTTAGCATGTACTGCCAACATAGCGCGACACTGGGCAAACTACTCACCATGCTCAATCCATATATCCAATGGCTATGAGCAAAATATCGAGATTTGGCCACGAAGCCCCCAGTTGGCTCCACCGTCTGCTCAGTCGGGTGCTTCTTGAGTCCATCTGGAGCGTCGTTGATACGCAGAGCCTGAGCAAGCTTCTCCTCCAGCTGATGAACCCGAGAGACCAGCCAGTCGACATTGGGCGAGGACGAAGTGGAAGACGACCCGGCCTTGGAGCTGACAATGGCGGATGACGATGATGCACCGACGGAGTCGACCATGCTGAAAGGACTGATTTCCGATGCCTCTGGGTTGTGGGCATCCGGCCTCGGTTCAGCCGCCTTGAGGTTTCTCAGCGACGCCTTGCCAGCGCCCTCAGCAGCCGCATCTCTCCCGGTGGCCATCATGGCGTCCATCTTCTTGGCCCGCCAGGCAGGGACGTGATACGGCGCATAAGTGCAGCTGGGGATGTTGGACTTGACGCAGTTGGCGCACGGCTGCGTGCGGTCGCAGCGGATCTTGCGTTTCCTGCACTGCTCGCACGAGAGCGGCGGACGGCGGCGCTTCTTTTCAGCCATGGGAGGAAGCATGGGCGCCTTTGCAGCGTCGGGCTGCGGCTGCTGCTGCGATTCTGAGCCCATCATGGAGTTTCGGTCCAGTTCATTAAGGCGTTATAGGTAGGTGCATGTAGGCAGTTACGCCAGGCTTTGGCGGGAGTTTACAGTCTAGCACTCGCGAGACAAAGATGCATACAACGGTAATAATGTCCAGTAATTTTATTTCATTGAAATTGCAAAATATTTGAAGAGTATAGAATTCAATTGGCCCGAAGGATCAACGACGCGAAGCCTCTGAGGCTACTGCTGTTCAACTGCCGCTAGCTACATATTCATACTCGGAAAGCGGCGCACATCGAACTTGCTGTTCGGTGTTTTGGCGGGCGCTCATTGGCCAGCGCGCGGCAAATCACCGAGAAAATAGACCAACAAACAGTGACAGAATCTGATGGTTTCAAGCATTCAAAGACTTGGACTTGCTGTCGATCTCAGAACAAAGGACCACTGAGAGGCAAACTGAAAGTCGAACAGCATCTAGACCCTTGCGCACGCTGCAAATGCTAATGTTTCCTTACAGCATATTTGACGAATCTGCGCTTACGCCTCTCTTCGTGTTTGCAAGACGGACCTTTTTCGGATCGCGGTTCCGATACACGGGTAAAGTACACGTACTCGTTCAACCACAGGAGAACGAAGCGGAAATCAATCATCGCTCTTCAACACGCGAACGGCCGAGAGCGAGAAACCCTCGCAAAGGATCGCACACCGACGAATAACATCAACTCGATCCTTCGTTTCAAATCATCGTTCGTCTGCTTTGTAAGAGGCAATCCGTATACTAGACCTTACATCAGCAAGTAGTAGTGCCCTCTAAAAATAGGCAGCGACTAATAGAATTGATCTGCTTCCATGCTTTAAAACGCCTTTCCCTCCCCCCTGTCAAGTCATCCATGTCGATACTACCTACATGTACAAGTACTGTACAGAGCTGAGAACGTACTATTGTATGTGCTTGTATTCAAGCGCGCGGCACTAATGAACAGTCCTACTCCTGAACGACAAACCTGCGACAAACCGTGACGACGACAACTTACGACGACGACGACTCCTTCGCCTTTGTACTATTTCCCGAGAGCGAGGCCGCTTACAAACAACGTGCCAAGAACAAATAGATCCCATCCTTCCCGTCCAGGCGTCTCATTGCCAAGGTATGCAGCCTAACACGCGAGAAGGAATGCTAGCTTCATCAAAGCCACGCAATAAACTGCCTACTATAACCTACTAGTAGTGTCATGTACGTGTAATTCCGATTCGAGACGCCTTCAGCCGTCTATATACATGTACACGAAACACACACCACACGCGCATACACGCCCTACAACAAGGAACATTATGCAATTTGCTGGCTGCAGACGGCCACTAGTTCCCTCTACTAAAAACTCCAAGCCACTAACACAAACCACTAAATAACCCAGACATTGGGATTACTGGCTGGGGGTTGATTTTAATTGCTCTCCCGCCAAAACCACCTTCGCCGCTAAAATTAATAGCACCGCGCAATCTTCCTCTTCCACGCCTAGCCCCAGACACCAAGTAAATAATCCTCAGCCAAAGGGAAAAACACTGCACTTTCCGCGTCGCTCGCTTCTAGTGATAGTTTATTTCCTTACTTATACTCCCCCCCTTCGATATTACACATCATAATACTCTTACTATGTCAGTTTACTTGTACTCCGTACCATTTAGGGAAAACGGAACTTCCCTAATATATTTCCCTACTAGCTAATTAACCTAAGCGTGTCTCCTTAGCGGCACGGAGCGCTATTTGCCTCCGGCATAACTAGCCCCAGACAACTTTGGAACCAGAAGATCACCTCCAGTATTATTTCGCAACCGTTTCTTTTTTCGACTTCTCCTCCAGGGGTGCATACCTCTTCTATCTCAAATCCACCTCCTTCTATAAGCCCTATAAGCTTGTTGTCAGAGTTCCCAAAGCCGCCGAGCCGGCTACTTTGTGCCGGCCCGGCACGGCTAATTCATCCGTTCAAGCATCAGTATTAGAGTTTGCAAGCATTATACTACCTACTTGGATATGAATGGCACCGTGGGTCGGAACTCGGTACTGTTCAAGGTACCTTATAGAAAGAGAGCGAAGCGGCCGCAAGTCGGCCCTCAGACGTATGGAGTACAGGTACCTAATGTAGAACTCACTCCTAGAAGCTATAGAGCTTTTTTAGTTACCAACTGCGAAGCGAGTTCTTAAACGATGCTGATTGTTGCTCCACGCTGAGTCTGACAAGGCGGGAACAAGGAATAATAGCAGCAAAACTTCAGCTCTCATATCATGACTCTTACGACGTTCTTATCTTTCCAAATCATGATTGTACAGTACCATTTGCGTCGGCCGTATTCAATTAAGAGCACCACAAAAAACGGGCAACATTGCTACAGTAAGTCAAGTGGAAACATGTACATCGGATGCACATCATTTGCCAGGTTGTTTATCTTGATCGCAAAGAAACGCAACCAAGAAAACGGGAAAAAGGTCCGCTCCGAGAAAATCAGGCTTGGCAACAAGCCTTGGAGGATATCGTATCTTGGCAGCTAAGGTACCAGGTGGGACTGTTGTATTCGGCGATACTCGTACAACCCTGGAGGATTGTGATTCGCGTAGCAATAGTACTTTGCAATACTGCGGCTTTGCTACATTGTTTCTTTCCCTTTCTTGAAAGTGAGTCCCTTTTTCCTCAACTTAGTCGTGGCCATCATAATCTCAGTATACCAAATCGAGGTTCATAAGGCGCTCCTAGTACCTTAGCAGTCTCAAAAGCAAAGCTGGCCGACTTATAGGTACTTCCCCCCTTCTGCCATGACCGACGGCGAGCCCGTTGGATCGCGACCTTGACCTTGACCTTGACCTTGGCCCCGTGGCGGTGGCGTAGGCGTTGGCGCCGGCCAAAACATGTACACTATTTACCATAACAGCGCGGAGGAGAACCGAAAGGCGGTTTAACCTAATGGAAGGCTCTCGCGATACCATTGTAATAGGTAACCTACCACTAATAGGTAGTACGGAGTCTTTCTCATAACGTGCTAGAAAAGCGCTGCTTACCCGGCCGTTCCGCACCGTTTTGGCGCTTAGCAAATCAGCCAGGATCACCGGCAAGGGCCTTGCTCGGACCCTTGTTTTTATAACGACTCGCTTATGGCATATCAGGAAAGAAACTGGAATATCAATAGAATACACTACAATAGTGCTAGGTAGCAGCAGTGCTACGGTGAGCCGGAGGTGTGCAGCATACGATGCTGCGGGATGTGGGCGGTTGGCATTGTATGAGCTACATGCTGCTCGTGAATGCATCTCAAGTGGCCTTGCCCTTGTCTGCGCTGTCAGGCCTTGACATCCGCTCAGTATTCGTAGTAGCAGTACGTACAAGTAGTAATCACACCATTCTATACGGCTCTTGGCCATCCCAGTCCCAGTCCTAGTCTTGAATTTCACTCACGGCTTTAGGCAGCCAAATCGTCTGTTTCGACACGGTCCCTAAATTCAAAAGGGCAAGTTTGGTAGCGAGAGCGGCGATAATCTGTCGCTTGTATCTCCGTTTGTCTTTTACCTTATCCCGTCTCAATAGGATTCCGCCTAGAGAAGAATGAATGAGACTAAGGGCTAGCAGAGACATTAGTAAGTCCGCAAACTCCATAAGTCTCTCGCAGTCGGGAAGAATATACACCGAATGTACCACACAGATGCAGAGACATAGGGCAGAACAAAAGAAAGAAAGAATAAAGTAGGAAAATCTTCACGACATCGAATCGGGTACAGCATTCAAGTGAAGAGTCTCGTGCTTTCTGTGTCCCTATGACCTGTCAAAAGGTCAGTGCGTTGCTAGATACGTACGTAGATGGTATACATAAGCATAGAATGATATGATATGATATGAAATCAGGAGCTGTATAAGCACGTATCTATTACAATTATGGAGACTCGTCCGCTCGCCAAGCTTGCGCGGAATACAAGAATGGAGACGAGTTCCGTGGCAGTTTCTGATTACAGAGGGGGGCTCTGCTTCTTCGCATTAGTGCGTCCAGGATCACATCGGGAGCAAGAGTCTTGTTGTGTAGCATGGCTTCTGTTTCTAGAATGGTGTTCATTCTAAGCTGGTGAAGAATCAGCCCTGCATACCACTCTGGGAAGATACGCACATGCCAATACTTGCAGCTCATAACTGCGAATTTCCCATTCCTGTTCATCAATCCACAGCTGAAGCATTTTCAAATAGCCAAAATGGAGAATCACTTGTTGCATATTCATCTGCTTTCCAGATAGAATCTTGCTCAAATCTCCTCCATATCCTCCAAATCGTCGAGTGCAGGAAAGTCTCCAATCTCCACCCTTTCCGGCCGTACAAAAACACCATGCTTTAGCTCTGACGGCTGTCCCCAATAACGCTTGCCTGAGATGCTACCGTCGTTCTTCCCCACAGGCTCATCTAGATGAACCCCCACCCACGGCCCAGCACCACCAGGAATTTCTTCAACGTTGCCCACATACTTGACTTCACCTCGACGAGTGTCCTCGCCGCCGACTCGGCATCTTTTACCGACTTCAATGCCACGCTGGACAACCTCTTCCTTGAGGGCGGCCACCTTGGCCTCCTCACGGCTTGGCGCTGTAGGATCAAATCGGCCAAGCTTTTCCGTCTTCTTCCATGCTAGCACAGAGTCTGTCTTCTTCTCGTACTCATCATCGGGCATGACATATTTCTCAACGCCTGAAGTATCGGTGAAGTTAGGCCTGGATGAAGGTGGGCGGGTATCAACAACCTACGAAATCATGGCGTGTTAGCTTCGGCTCCATGTAGGCCCCTCTCCTCCTCTGCCGCCTGCGTCCATCCCCAGCAAATGCATAGAGACGCTCCATTACGGACGGCAGGGGCTCACGCGCCCAGACAAAACGTTTGGCTGCCCAAAGCCCTCCAAGAGAGGCCCGCTTTGGGACTTCATCAGCTCTTTTCTTTTTCCTCTCTTCGGGCATTGAGTCAATTGCAAAGCGATTCTCCACCCCACAGAGGCTAGTATGCACAGAGGCAGAGAAAGAAGAAGGCGAAGAGGATGAGAGAGACAAGCAAACTGAGGCATCTGCGTTGTGCAGCAGGGCATGGGATCAAACTCCGCATCCCTAGCAGCATGCTCAGCGGCTAATGAAATCGACAACGGTTGACTTACATGCAGCTCTGCATACGGGACCAGGGGAAAGCTGGACAGTTGGACGGCGTCTTCATCTGCTGCCTCGACTGGGATCTTTTCCGAGCCGGCTGATGTTTTGAGACTGAGTATCTGGCATGAAGGGGGGATGCCTGTGACGGGCTCGAGCTTTGCCTTGAGCATGAAGATGGTCCATGAAGGTGTGATGCGGCGCTCGGAGGCGGCGTACTCCGAAATCACCTGAATAGGGACGTCCGCCATGACGTTTGGGATTGTGTAGCTCGGCAAGAGGGCTTTTTTGGAGATTTCTAACGCTTCCCGGTAATAGGCCAATTGTGGTTGTTGTCTAGAATCAACCTCTCACTCACTCCCCTTTTTTTCGACAGTTCTCACTGCTACCTTCGGACAAACTAGCGGGGTTTGGCCCCTAGAACTCGCAAACGCGGATGGAGCGCGGAGGAATTTGATCGAAGGATGTCGCTAGTGGCCCTGAGAACGGCCGTTGACAGCAAGCAATATGCTGATGCGACGGTGGCCAGGGAGCAGAGCAGAGAATGAGGATGCAGAGCGAAGAAAAGAAGATAGATGAGAGGAGGAAAATACTAGTAGTATTATGTCGGCAGTTATATGTCCAGTTTTTAAGGTACCTGTCGATTTCTCATCAGGCCAATTATTGTCGGTGCCTACCAAGTTAGCACCTGTCCTATAAAGCAAGAGCCAGGCGCCAAATGGTAGAAGGCAGCTACGGCTTGACGCCACAGCAAAAATAGGCGTTAGTGGGACATATGCGGTACCTAGCAGCTGACATAGGGGTCCAGTTACAACACCGTCCACTGCAGCACCGCGCTGTGCAAAGTATTTGCCGACCGGCAAACGTAAGCTGTACTTTGTTTGCCCAGCCTAATACGCGGAAACCAGCCACAGCGGCGCATTTTATATTCACAGCGCCACTTTGGGCTTGAAGCGGTATCTTGGTAACAGCCAATTCCTACAGGTAGAGGCAATGGTTCTCTGCCTGATATCCAGGGGAATTACTTTGATGATTGCGTTACAAAGCAGTCTGTGACATGGCATATTCCCCATATAGGCTCGACAATCTTCACGGCTGCTCTGGGCATCAGGTATCAAAGGCGTCTGAACTGAACAGATGCCTAGAAGAGGCCTGCTAGGGTCCTGCAGAGTCGTTACCCACATTGGACCGCTGGCAGGCAAACGGACGGGACGCCTCCCAGATCCTTGCCACCCGCCTTTGAGGGTATCCGCTGCCGGCCATATGCTATACGGTACAAGCATAGGCATGTCATAAATGACCAGATTAACCTGGGTGACCTGTCCTGTGTTTGCATCGGAGCTTTGCCGCAGAGCAACCTTGTTTAGGTGCGTGGTCGCCGTAGCGGGCGTGGAGAGGGTAAGGATGTAAGTGCCCAAATGCCAGGCCCAATCGCAGCACGGCCATGGCTGTTGTAGGTATTGATACGAAATAGCAATACCCAGTACCAGCGGTAAACAGCGGTACTGGCGGTCGATGGAGAGAATACTGGAACATGCCTTGAATTTCGTTGAAACTTGAATGTTGAAGCTCATGTTGAATAAGCGAGGTAGGCGAGATGTCTTGCAGACGTAAAGGCCTTTGTTAGGGCAGTTTAAAGTTTTTGGGCTAATATCCCGTTGTTTATACGGTCTATGTGCTGCCTATTTAGTATGTGTTCGCATACAAGTAGGTGGTAGATAAGTGCCATGGTGATGATTGGCATCAATTGGCCCGTGGCTACTCCACAACCCGCATTTGCCAGATCTCTCACGTAACACAGCATTAAGTGCTGTAGATACGACAGCCTCTTTTTTGGACTAGATATCTAAGTTACTGCAGCAAAGCCTCATCCGCGCAAGCAATCTTCCAAATCCTACCGACCTCTTGATTTACTGTATCCTGTAGAGCATTTCTTGATGATGAAAAGGCGGGGGACACGGCCGTTTCACACTGTGGGCAATTCCTATTCCTGGTCGGTACGTCCTCTCATCATAAGCAAAAGAGCAGCCTGAGTATCGAGTTATGCCATGTACAAAATCACAAGAAAAAAAAATATGAATGAGAAAACTGCGTGAGCCTGAAGAGAGCCCAACGTACGTTGTTGATGGGGGTCTCTTTCGTCTCTCGCAGCATACGCCTCATTGATTGACGGACAACATTTCCCGTTCCAACGCTGCTGAATGAGATGGGTTGGGATGAAGCACCACTCCCAACGACCCCGGCCGGGCATAAAGACGGAGGCAATGCTACCCTAGCCACGCCTCAATCAACTTCCTCCCATCTTCGGTGATGCCCCCGTCCATTGAGAGCGTCGTGGCGTCTGGCACCTGACCCAACGCTCACCGCCGCCACGTCACGACCTTCTATTGCCTGGTTTAAGTGCATCCTGCAAGTTCTACATCAAGAGGGGGGAGAAAGAGGAGACGAAGAGCTGCCAAGCAGCAGTAGTAGCAGCGTACTAATCTAGTAACTGTAGTGGTGGTTCTACAGAGATCCGCTTCTCCAGCAACGACAGACGTGGAGTTGATAGGGAATACCTACCTCTTTTCTTCAGGTTGCGCCACTACTTACTGCCCCGTACGTCTACCAGCACAAACAAGAAGATCCTCTGCTTATGCAGGCCGAGATTGGATTGGCTGGTGGATTTGTTAGTAAGTAATACAGTACTACTTGTACATGCACTGTTAGGGGTGGCCTTCCCGCACACAACGCTGCACCGGCTGGCTGCCCACGCGATTGGTAACGGGCAAAAAAAAAAATTGCTGCATATCCCGCGATGACAGACAGATGTGAGATGTGATGTCGGGGAACGGGTGCTGAAACGACGTCGTCTGACAGGGATGTCTCTGCAGATGGTGTGTCGAGCCAACAAAGTCTTCTGTGGGTGCATCCACTATGGCATTCGAATCTGATAATAGCAGCAGCATCGTAGTCTACTTGTAGGTATGTCATTCCGTAGATGTAGTGAACGATAATGACAACCAATGCTTGGTCAACGCAATTGGTTGAGAACAACCATCTTGACTTGAGTGGGGAGGGAATATCGGTATATGTCGTCTCCGAAGCTGATTATCGGAACTTTGCTACACAAGGTTCAGCACATATTATGCCACTACTCAGGGCCCTTACCTAGAATTGCGGATATTGTTGCTCCGTGCTCTATACTGCTGGCACTAAACACCTACTGACAGTACTACTAGCATTGGTAAGTATGCAGTACCATACTGCTACTGTATTGAGCTCCTCTTACCGCCTCGTGCAATAGTTGATGATGGCGTTTCGGGACGGCACCGCGGCTGGTGGTGGGGCGGGGGTTGTGCTCCGTATCTTAATAGGTACGAAGTGCTGCCACTACCAATACTTAGGTACCATGCTAACCCCCGTATCATAGAAAAGAATGAATCACGAAACGCAGAGCTGACTACCTGACGAGGATCGGTTTGTGAGCGGTAGACAAGGGCCATCGCGGGCTGAAAAAAATGGCTCTGCTCATCAATATTGCCTCTTCTGTTACAAGGTACCTAGTGCTATAGGTAGCTAGTATATTCAGCTAGTATTAGATAGAACTTACTTGTATGCCAGTTGTTCCTTGTCTATCAGCCGTTCTATTAGTAGGCACAGAGTACTTGGTAGATTAATGCAATAGGTAGCGAAGGTAGAGTGCTGGGGATTTTCGGCTCTCGCCGCTACTCGGGCAGCAACGCTAGTTTGGAGCTCGGAGCTTGGATGTGTGTTATACGTAGCTATTAATGGCAACGCATGATAATAACAGTTCCAATCTTCAAGCCACGAGCATGGCACAGAGTACTGTACGCTCATATTGCAAATACAGGTATAGAACACATATATGTTGGTAGACTGGGTTGCTGTTCAACGGCAGCACGGGTCGTGGGGGAGAGAACCCCCCATTGCCGCATAACGGCCTGTGGATGCAGGAGTGGGCGTCAGCAGGACGCCATGACGCTACTGATAAAGAGTGGCTTGCTTTGTTCACCGCAGATCGTCGACTCACCAAGAGCGGTATCCAGCACGTCTACAGTAAAGACGATATCTTTGTTTTGGCGGGTGAGTACACTTCTTGTTGGCGGCTGTGGCTCTCTCTTCCAGCAGCTGTTCATCGAGATGGCGAGCTAATGGTGGTGTGGTGGACCTGCTACAAATCAGACAGGGGTATGAAGGCAACTCGTGGGCCATGATTCAATCTCTGGAGCGGCTCGGATGACGGTGCAGCTGAGAGGCGCAGACCGCCGGCAGGACAGACAGCAAGCAGAGGCAAGACCACGAGGGGCGTACGAACAGGATCTCTAGGACTCATGTACGCTGACTGGTCGATCATGGTTCGCAGTCAGTTCGACGAACGATGCGCCCTTGTCCTGGCACCGGCTCCTGAGGGCCAGCTCACACACACACTTTTGCAGGCAAGGTGCAGTAGCTACATGTGCTTGTAGCATCCGCATCCACACCTCTCTGTGCCTCCCACGCCTCTCTGCTCGCTCGTATTGCTGCTCGCCGGGACACGCCGTCTATTTGCTTGTATACGAAGTGGCTGCTGAAGCTTTGCGCACAGATATCGTGTATCAACATTCTTCGCGCCTTACTACATTCCCGCGAAACGCAGAGAGCCGAGTGCATGTAGCCTGGAGTTGACCGCCAGTTCGTTCATCGGCAGCCCCGGGCAAGCGCCCTGGCGGTGATGAAAGTCAGCTTGCCTGATCAGACTCCTTTCATCCGCGGTGGCTTGCTTGGTGAAGACCGATGCAGATGAGATTATTTGCTTCCTGGGGCTGGGTTGAAAGCGTGGGATGGAGTTGTGTGAAACAGGTGAGCCGAGAGAAAGAGAGTGAGAGAGATGCAGTGTAATTTTAATGGGCCGTAAGTGAAGTGCCATTATGGGCTGAGGCAGGAATGACTGGCAGGACTGGCAGGTATCTGCCAAGTACTACTTGGCAGCTTACACTAACAAACACTACTAGGGGCCATGTACCTGTACTCGATGCATGCGACGGATGCTCGCGTGCGCTCGAGATATCGTAGATTAAGCAGTAGAATCTGTCAATATCAGCTTGAAATTAACGTACTTGATGCTTGTCAGCAGTCCCCGTCTACCTCATTTGAGCGGCAAACCAAGTTCGGAAGACTCGTTTCGCTACCCAGATATTGTGTCACACTACTCAAATAAACGCTGCGATTGGCCCTGGCTTAACTTGGAGAATAATGTAAGCAACGATCTGATAAAGATTGACAACTCCTATCCACACTGTACTTCACATTGTAAACAAGCCCGAGATACAGCAAGTGTGGGGATTATTTTATTGTCTTATACTACAATGCAAGTACAACATCTTAAAGAGCTTGAGAGTGCTAAAGTTGATAGTACCACAATCTCAATTACTTGCTCACCTCACTCTTGATTACGGATTCAGATAACAAATAACTGATAACAGGTGGCGTTCGCTATTCCCATGTCTTTGATTGATTCCAGGCTCTGACTATCTCGCTTCGGCTCGCTGCTTGGCTTCGTTAGGTGCTAGGCGTGCTGACAGATAGCCGTTGCTTGCTACAATGCAGGCCTCCCTTCTCTTCCCCTTTGCATTGGCTTCTGCCTAATATTACTCTGCGACAATCATGGCACCCTGCTCCTTGACCATGCACTACAGGCGCAGAGTTGCGAAAAGTGCCGAGTTCTGAACAGGGCCAGGGGTTGCCGCGCATTCATACAAGTAGTACTATACCAGCATAGGTAGACGGCGCTTCCCCGTATCTAGCTCATAGCCTCAAGCAGTAAGTAGTACGGAGTACGCCCGTCAAACAGAGCCGACAGCTTGGTTACGACGTCAGACTGATCATCCGGTTTTAAATTCGGCTCCCGCAATGTAACATCGTCTGCGGACTTTTTCTCTATTACTACCTGCTGTTGGACTGGGCTATGCCTGTACGCATATATGTAGCTAATCAGGCTAGAGATATGACAGATCTAGCAGAGGCTTTAATAGTGTCTGGCCATGAGCCAGGGAGTAGCAGTACAAGACTTTTGCATATCCCATGTCGAGTGCTCTGGACGATTGAGCAGCATATGGCAAGGAGCGTGCTGATGACGGTGGCAAGCATTGCTTGAACAAGCAGCAGCAGCAAGAACCGGTTATGAAATCCCCAACACTGGGCCTATTATCTGGGGTAACGATGAATTTACTAGGATCGTTTTATACGTTGTAGGTACAAGTACTGTCCGGAGTTCCGCATTGCCTAAAACAACGACGGCTCGAGATGCCAAGGCTTTTGGACGGAACGTACATCCGAGAAACGACATGTTATAGATGGAGACTGTGGCAATATAAAGACTGTTTCATCTTATATTGCGTCGCTGGTGACTGCATGCAGAGGCAACGGACGTGGCATTTGAAAGAGGCACACTCTCTAGGAGTAAGAAGAAGAAGACATGTCTCTGAGTCTATGATACATACATACCCTTTCAATTCCGAAGCGAGCACATTCTATCTCCGATAAGACTTGTTCACCGCGGTTTTGGGCTTGGCGAACCAAGCTGAAACTAGTCTGCTGACAACCATTCCAAATTTCACATAGACCTTGTTGTGGCGTCACAATACATGTATTGTTATTTGTACATACATGGAAGCCTGGAGTAGAGTAGAGGAGGAAAAAAAACAAGAATGCAACTACTAGGTACTTACTATGAAACTGCGAGAGCCGAAACCACCTTGGTACCTAAGAAAGCAAAGTATCGGTCGCCGACGACGGTTTAATTACAATAGTACAGGGTCTGCCCTGACAACAGAAGGCCTGGTATAGCCTCTCTACCATTTTAGAGCGTAAATTCACTACAACTTGCCTATCTGCGCAGGGATTGGCAACTTGTAGAGGCGAGCATACGCTACTAGGTAGCTGCTCCCCCAGTAGAAGTACTATTTACAGGCTAATGGCAAGATGATTGACTATCATTCCCGTAAGACGATCGAAGCATCCACTATGGCCATATATAAGCGTGGTGCTAACTATGTATGGGCTCGAGGAGCCCTGCTTGGCTAGTTGCTGTATTGCCACTCCATTATCCCAAAGCCTCCAATGCACATGTGCTTTTACATACGACGCTATTTGACAGCAACTACCTCCCTCTTTCCATCTTCTGCTGTAGTATCAAGGAGAAGAAAGTTTCAATAGAGAGCTGGTCCTCGAGCCAACTTACAGATACTATTTTTTTTATAGATAGAAATCGTTATTGCGGCACGAGATGACTACGCTACCGCCGGGATCACCTAGACAAGTCAGACTGTAATATTTGGGGGCGAAGAGCTGTCGATACGAGCCCAGCGAACCCAATGGGCACACTCCTAGCATGAGTAGGATGCAGGATGCCAAACTACCTCATCTTACAGAGGCTGGTTGCGAATTGCGAGCCACTAGCAATCCAGAAGACTTGTCCAGGCCATTTACTTTGTACCCAGCAGCTCATAACATGCCCGAGGTACCTAGCTGCCTACATACCCAGCATATAGTAGCAATTGACTCGGGCATCCAGCATTTAGCACCTTTCAATGCATGAAGGCGTGGCCAGGTCAGGTGCTACACTGCATATATGAAGTCCCTGGACAAGAGCTGCCTTGGTGGCTTCAGATATACTAGCGATGTAGGGGCAGCAGCATCAAGACAGGTCAAGCCACAGCTCATTGGCAGGCTCGTTTGAAGGCCAAAAGCAAAGTGTACCTCCGTACTTGCATACAAGTACAGGAAGTGGTGAGGCCATGGCGAATGGGGCGGCCAGTTGAGAGGAGCTGGGCCAAAGGGGGGCGTGTGTATGAAACAGTGGTCTCTTTGTCTAATCCCTGCGCTGGCCATACACAGGTAGTGCCACAGCAGCTGCTAGAACGGATCGAGAGACGGGTTCCCGACTTAGCTCCCAGACAACATGCCAGGATGGAGCTGCTAATCTATCTTTATACCCAAATGCACGGCTGTCGAGTAGCCTGTAAGGCATATACTTCAAGTTGTACGGTACTGTAAGGGATGTACATGTTGTACAGGAGCACACGCTTGGCTTGGCAGGTAGGTACTTGGGATGCGTAGCGCGCGGCGGTGGGAGCGGCGGTACCTTGGGCTGTTCCTTGGCGCATTCAATACTGCTACTAGTAGTAGCAGTACTAGTGGTACCTGTACTTGCACATACATCCCTTCTCCCCCATGCACATGCACCTGCGCACGCACACTAGCAACCCAAAAAAAGAAAAGAAGACGAAGCCATCCACATGTCCACCATCTCCTTGCACCGAATACGTGGTGCTGTGGCAAGAGCTGAGCGACGATGGCGGTGCGAACGAAGCTCGGGCTCGACGAGGCTTAGAGCAACCAGGCCAGCCTGACAGCGAGATTGAGCTGGAGACGAGGCCTGTCTGTCTGCCTCGCACGAACACAGTCTGCCCCGACGCGTACGGTACAGCAAGGCGGTGATGCATCCACGGTCACCAAGTGAAGTGAAGCGACGCAAGAGAAGGGCATGAAACCTCATCAGCAGTGAATGACGCACGCCGGCACTTGGAACCCACCAGACGCCATTGCACGTCTGCTCCAGCAGTCAGCCGCTAGACGAACAGCAGACGACGTGGGCGATCTGGCAACGCTCGGCTGAAACATGCAGCGAGAAGGCCACGATGCTCCAGCCTCCACTCTGGGAACCCAAAGAGGATCCGGGGCCTTTGATTAGCTTTCCATCTGCAGGGCCCTGGTGCGTATTCGTGGCCGGTGATGCAATGAGCCTGGCGACCTCTGACGACCACAAGCCACCGCCATGGTGCGTCTTGCTCACCGACTTGGACCAGACGTCGACTTGACGATGGCATGAGCTGGAGCGCCGCCAGTGACTCGAGCAAGCTTCGATTCGATTCTCCCTTTTTTTTCTCTTTGCTTCTTTTCTGCCGAGACTATTTGCTGTGGCCTCTGCTGGCCTGGTTTCCAGCCGCACCCCCTCCCTGCTGCGTTTCTTGCTCTTACTTCTTCCATTGAGTCTCAGGCGTCTTTGGTGGTGATGGATGTCGGCATAGTCTTCAGCCCAGCTCCGTCTCTTTGTCATCCTCGCACTCACACCCTCTTCTTTTTCCCGCTCCATCTCGCGTCTCGCCACTGCCGACAAGCTAACATTTCCCTCTTCTGTATTGGCTTTTGATCAATTGGTTCGTCACGTACCGGGAGCTAGCCCTACGTTGTTCGGGCCCTAGCTTGAGTTGAGCCCCAGGCTCTATCGTGCTGCTTGCTTGCTCCTCCATGCATGCAAACCTGTCCTCTCTTGTCGTCTTTCCAAACGACACTCCCCCACCGTTCCCTGCCTCCCCCAGTCCAGCTGGCGTCGAGCAGGCCAATCAGCCCCGGCTGCCGGTTCTGGCTGGTTTTTCCAGGTCGACTCCCCCCCTGGACGCAACGGCCAGATGCACCATCAAAGTGGCTTCCCGGACTGGCGTCCGCCCTGTCCCCAGCGCTGGGCTCTCTCCACCCCTGCCTGGTCCATCTGACGTTTCCTCTCTCGCGGGACTGCCCAGATGGAACTGAGACTCTCCCAAGGCCTTTTTACAAGCACTGCAACCCGATCTAGTGACAGGGTCCTGGTCTGGCCTTGACGTAGTGGCCCGTTGCCGCCGGCCCCATGCTCTGCTTCATCGGCTCCTCTCATCTCCCCCCAATTGGCCCCATGAACCCCCCGGCCACGCCAATCATTTGGCATTTTTCGCCTTCATAAACACGTTCCCGGGACTGCAAGTCCATTGTATTCACTCCCCGAGACACAAGCACATTCAAGCACAGTTTCTTCTCTCTTCTGCCGTCTTCTTCCCTCCTCTTCACGGTACTTGCAAGTCCAGCTACCTACAACCCGAGCATCTCTTATCATCCTCAAGCTTTCAGCCTCTGCGGCTGTATTCGACTCTGGCAACGCTAGGCAACGATAGGACAGCACACATCTTGCTCCCTGCTTCTCTCCATCTTTGACGCTGTCGTTCTTGACTTCATACGCATCACGCACGAGGGGCTGGTCCGTCTGCCTAGGCCCCCTTTATTGCCCTTTGCAACAGCTCTCGTGACAACCGTCACGCCAAGGGAAAAAAAAAAGAAAAAAGAAAAAGAAAAGAAAAAAAGAAAAATCCAGGAACATCGACCGTCTCGAGGACACTGTGTCTCGGCCACAATTTGCTGACAGTGCTTTGCCACCTCACTGGGCCATTACGCCGGCCCTCATCATCGCCTCATTTGCATAGCCCGCGCCGGGGCTTAAGCAGGCAGTCGCTGAGCTGGCTCAACTCCAGAGCCAGTCGCTGCTCTGCCTCCCGCAGGCAGGGCCACCGACGTCGTTCAACGTGGTCGCACACGGCAGTTTCGGCCTGATCCGCGGTCCTGGCGCCTCTGCTGACCGACCCCGTCTGGGCGGCAGAGGCTTGACTACCAGCTCCGTGGATATCGCCTCTCTGCTTCGAATTCCAGCCTCAAACGAGCCCTCCGTGTCCCACACAAGACAGCTTCGACCTGCCTCCGTGCCATCAACTCCTACGACTACTCCTCATGACCTCCTCCCTTCACGTGTAGGGCCTTTGCCTGTAGTTCCGACGCTCGTCCCGAGTAATCGGCGCAGTATGACACCTCACGTTCCAGACCAGCCAGTCAAGAAACAAAGCAAATGGTCTCCCGAGGAGGATGCCGTCATTATCGAGCTCCGTGGGAGAGGCATGAAGTGGGAAGATGTTTCCAAGCGACTTCCGGGACGCAGTGCCATCAGCTGTCGGCTTCACTACCAGAACTATCTCGAAAGACGCAGTGAGTGGGATGAGGAACGCAAGAATAAGCTCGCTAGGCTCTATGAGAGGTATGTATGGGCTACAGCAACACAGAATAATCTCACCCCCTTTTTTTCCAGCATATATGTCTCGACTTGTTATTTTGGGTTTTAACCATCACTATTTCATCTCCCTCACAATCTGGAGCTTCGATCCTCATGAACATGGCTAATATCTAACTAATGTACTTATAGATTCAAATCTGATATGTGGGCCAAGGTGGCTGAAGAATTGGCTGTTCCCTGGCGAGCAGCCGAAGCGATGCACTGGCAGCTTGGAGAGGCGGATATGGCTCGACGAGCTGGAGTAGTTCCTTTCTCTCTCGCTGCCGTCAACAATGAGGCGGCGAGCAACAGGGCCATGGCCAGTCGAAACCAGGCGCCGATTCAGCCACTCGATAGTAGCAATCTTCGTGATGTCAAGCCACCATCTCCTCACTCGAGCTACAGCCGTGGCCAGCTCATGCCCCCCATGACACCTGCACGAACATCTCGACGAGGACCTATCAACTCTCAACCACCTCCCCCACCGCATGCGCGACCAATGCTACCTCCCCATCCCCAACACCTGCATCAAACACCCCATTCCTCCCCCCACGCAGTAGTGCCAGGACCATCGGCTCCGCAACAGCAGCAGCAGCAGCCGCCGCCGCCGCCGCCGCCGCCGGCAACTGCCACTGCTTTGCCACACCCTCATCCTGATTACCGCCGCAGCCCGGGTCCTGGTCTTGCCCCAATTCAACCTCACCCTCCGTCTCACAACGCCGGCCCTCTGCCAAGCCTTGCACAGTTGACTACAGGAATGAGTCCGTATGGCCCGCCAAGCGGACCGCCAACACCAACATCTCTGCCTGCGATCAATAACCCTTCGATGCCTCGTTATATGCCATTGGAACCACAACAGACAGGAACAAAGCGGCGAGCGAGTCCTGATATGACAAGGCCGGATGGTGCTCATAGGCGAAGACTGGCATAAAAATCCTACTCTTGCTCAACTACCAAACGATTTCATATCTGCTGCTAAGAAAGGAAGAGAGGCGTGTATACGACAAGCCAAAGTTGCTGAGATATGGCACTGGGAAAGACGAGGAGTTAAAGAAAAAGACAAAAGTCTTAAAAAAAAAAATAGGCACAGGTTATTCATTCGTTATTTGGACTAAGGCAAACGCTTTAATGATTCGACGAATAGCATGCATTGGGACAAATATGCACTGCAATATCAATAGACGGGAAATACGGAACACGGTTCATGGGACAACACATTACTCACTGACACGGACGGATGGTATCAACAGTACACTATGCCCGGTCACAGACACTAAGACAGCCTGCTATTTGTTTTGTTTTCTGAGGCTTTTCTTTCCTTTCCTTTCTTTCCAATTCCTTCTTTCCAATTCTTTCCAATTCTTTCCTAGATGTTCTGTTATTATTGTACCAGCTCTCTGTCAATCAAGTTCCGCACTCCTTTTCTTTTTTTTCTTTTTTTTTTTTGGTTATTATTTTCCGGTCTACGGCTAGAGGCGCTTCTTGGAATACAGAAAAACTACACTGACTCTGGGCTTTCTTTCTGGTGGGTTTTGGTTCATGAAACAGGGCATTTCTACTATGGCTTTAGAGGTACATGAGAGCAGACCAATGGCAGCTGATAGCTGATGGGAAGAATCTTTTTTTTTTCCAAAGGTATCCGTGTTGAAGTATTAGGGGGCATGTTAGGAGGTGATGAAGAGATTTTGAAAGGGCATGAAGCGAAAGGGCGTTTTTCTTTTATTCTTTTTGTATTCTTCTTCTCCCCTTTCTGCTTTTGGGGAGACAATGGCATTGGGCATACACTGGGCATAAAACTTTTACTAGTTTGTACTTGTTCTACTCTTTTAGCTAGCATACAGCATATCTGCAGCGTTCACTTTGTATCAATCAAATTAGCTATCATGATTATCATTATCAGAAACATTATGCGCTTCAACCACCATTCTTGTTGATGTTGGGTACAGTCTTTCTTTCTTTCTTTCTTTGGCTCTCGTGTAACAGCACGTTTCATGTCTCCTCACTGCTACATATCACCCACCAGTTGTCCTTTTCATAGCCACTCTCCAAAACAACTCCCCCCGCAGCCTCAACGTCCTCCTCCAGCTCGCCCTTCCGATACAGATGATAATACCGCTGATACGTCGCGTCCGGCTTGTCCTTTGAGCGCATCACCCACGGCACCAGCGTATCCTGCTCCGACCCTTCGTCCCACCCCCTGCGACTGGTGCCCTGCTCCAGCGCCCAGGCATAGATGAGCACCTTGCCACCGGCCCTCACGCACCGCAGCAGCGCCGCGATGCACTCGCGCCGCCGCTCGGCCGTGGACAGGTGGTGGATGACGGCGACGCAGATGACAAAGTCAACGGAGCGCTCGCGGTAGGGCAGGCTCAGGGCGTCGGCGACGACGACCTCGCCGCTGCGCTCGGATCGGGCGAGGCGCACCAGGTTCTCGCTGCGGTCGGAGCCGAAGATGTGCAGCGTCGGGTTGACGGGGAGATACTTGCCGTTGCCGCAGCCGACGTCGAGGCCCGTGGTGCCCGGGGGCTGGGCCGTGAGGAAGGAGGAGATTAGGGGCCAGGGCTTGTGGCGGGTTGAGGAGAAGTGCGGCGCGATGGCGTTGTAGACGGAGTGGACGTGGGTGGCCTCGTAGGCCTCTGCCGAGGACTCCATTGTACGATGATTTCGATTGCTGGATTTTCTTTTCTTATTTTCTGACTGAATTGGTGAAGTGGTGGGTGGTTTGTGTGAAAGTGGGCTGCAGTTTTGACTGGGGGCGTTGTTGTGTATATGAGTAATGAGGGTGAGATGTTGAGCGAGATCCGGTGTGAGCATGGATGATTTTGGTGTTATGATGAGTTATCAGATAGAAGGTGCAAGTTTTTTTTTTCTTTAGATGAAACCGGGGGAGATTTTAGGTTCTCCCCTAAAACGGGCCGTGGCGGCTTGTGTAAGAGCCGGAGCTACTAGTAATGCATTCACAAATTGATGAGTTTGAGTTTGAAGATTGCTGGTCTGTAACAGCGATGAGAAAATTCTCACTCTATTTGGTGGTTTCACTGCATTTCTCAGACATGGCTGTCAAAAAAAAAAAAAAAAAAAAAAAGTCTACGATAGAAAGGCTAAGCGGTTAGAAAGGGCGTTTGAAAAAAAAAAAAAAAAAGCAGAGCCATGGGGTGTGCATATAAACTGGTTGTCCCACGCGCAAAAAACCCAAGCGGTTGCTTCGTGCGGCGGGAAGCGCCTAAATCGCGTGGGGAGGAAGGGATTGAAGCTTATCTTCCGCCAGTTTTGATATACCGTGTAGGTCGTATTCTTCTGCGTGCAAGGGGGGTTTTTTTTTTTGTTGACACTCGATGAACGCCCCGATGGACCCCTTGCTCCATCGTGAGATTTGCTGCTCTTGTTGTTGGCTGACAACTTTTATTTTTCCTTTTTTCCTAGACCATTGCCGTGCCGTGCTGAGGTGGTATTGTTCGGTGGTATTGGGGGACCCCCTGGTTTTAAGGGCGTGTACAGATCGGAGGGGGCCATCATCCATGGATCCTGGGCTGATGAAGGACAAAAGTGCTCTGTGGATATTTGAGAATGACAGCCAAGGATAAGGTCTATCATCAACTCGTAGATTGCGGGTTGCTTGCGGGTAGTAGGGATTATGTGATAATGATGCCTGTATAAGTAAGCAGGATAGGTGAGTGAAGCCCGCAGGAGATATTGATTGATGCCGAATGTTGATTGATTTCCGAGTACTGTAAGGGAATAGGGCACTATCATGGCAACATGTTCTTGACTCGCTCGCCCGTCTATGTCTTACATATGGGGGCTATTTTTTTTGCTTTTCGTTAATCTCCGCTTTCCTGTCTTTCCTTTTTAAGAAGATGGCAGCTTCCAATTCTGTAATGATGTTCACCGTTTGTGGCGCTCGTGTGCAGCATATACTTGTCACCGTCACTTCTCATATACATCACCACCGTAGTCAAGGTTCTTATGCATACCTAGGTAGGTACACTTGCAGTAACTGTCCCTGTCAATCACACTTCATTATAATTTGTCTTGATTTACGTAATTACTGGCAACTTCAGGCTTATTAATTTCCCGTAACCATCAGGCCACTCTCCCGAATTTCTGTTTCTCTGTTTATTGGTTTCCCGTGTTCAACGGGCTCTTTGGATCATACACATCAGTCGTAATCAGCTCCGGGTATTCAATCCCACCCTGCTTCAGCGCCGCCTCCATCGTCTCCATAATGACAATGCTCTCCGTCCAGGGCAGCGTGGCGCTCTCCTTCTTGCCGTCGCGTAGGCATCGAGCACACTCGTCTGCCTCCCAGAACATGCCGTGGCCCCAGCCATTGCGTGCAGGGTCCCCGGGGATGGGGCAGTCGACCAGCTGAGACTCGCCGTTCTTCTTCACAACCTTGTACTTGACGGGTCGGTAAGCCGGGAAGAAGACTTGAATTTCTCCCTCCGATCCCTGGATTCGGATGACCGGGACGGCGTCGTTCTCGGGGTCGGAGTGTGCTCGCATGGTGGTTGTGGCGACGCCCAGGGAGTTGTGTCGAGGGAACTGGCAGATGATGGCCGTGTTTTCATCCGCACCGGTGGTGTACTTGTTGCTGGCGGCGACCACTGTTGGTGCCTCCTTGTCTTGCTCCGGCTGTAGGTGGTACAGTGTTTGGAATACCCAGGTCAAGGGATACACGCCGAGGTCGAGGATTGCGCCGCCTGCGAGATCAACGTTGACCATGCGATGAGAATCATCAAACGAGAGGCCCTTGCCTTCAGTTGCATTCGAGTTGAATGACAAGTCGCCTGTATTCCAGTAAGCAAGTAAGCTCCTTTGAATCACAAGTCGATATACTCACCAATTGTTCGGTAGACAGTACCAATCTCGCCCGACGTGATGCGCTTCCGAATCTGGATGCTCAGCGGGAAATATCGAGTCCACACAGCCTCCATCAAGAACAGATTCTTCGCCTTGGCCGTCTCCACGAGCTTTCTGGCCTGAGCGGCCGTGACGGTGAAGGCCTTTTCGCACAAGACGTGCTTGCCGGCTTCCAGCGCCAGCATGGCGTTCTGGAAATGGTGGCTGTGAGGTGTTGCGACGTAGATGATGTCGATATTGGGGTCGGCGACAAGCTCTGGATAGGATCCATATGTCTTGGCGTCAAAGGCACCGTCTATTGTCTGGAGAAACTCATCCGCCCTCTTCTTGCTGCTAGAGGAGGCGACGGCAACAATCTCGTGGCGCACATCATGAGCGTCTCGAACTTTGGGATCGCACAGAAGATCCTTGCAGAATGCTGTTATGTTGGTGTTAGCTCAATGCACGGGCGGGCTCCCCTGAACTGAGATTGAAAGACAAGATACTGACTCTCTGCAATTCCGCCGGTGGCCATGATGCCCCATTTCACGGTATAAGGGTTTCCTGCGGCCATTGTGGGTGTGGTGTTTTGTTCAATTGCAGTTTGTTGGAAGGATGTGCTACGACTGAGAGTTCTCCTACGAGCTTGCGTCAAGGGCGCGAGGCTCTACAGATATTTATATTGACTAGCATCATCTAGCACTTTCTTGGCCATTGTTTGCAAAGTACGCCGTCACTCAAAAGCCCACGGCGAAGCGATCCACTGCGAGCTGCTCGATCCACGCCGTCGCCAATAATCAGCCGCCAGTGGTGGAGGACATTCCATTATCCACTGCGTAACGTGCGGACAAAGTTGCCCCGCGGCAACTATTTCTCTCTCAGTCGACCACACAACGGCGTCCGCTATAGCTTACAAATTACCCAATTCGAAACCTCTCCTCAGCTGGGTTCGTTATTATGGCAAAAGCTACGTTAGCGGTGGGGAAAGGAATTCGGCTTGGTGGGGTTGCAACATGCGATCCAATTAGGCTCAGAGAACAGCGTCATTTCTCCATGTCCATTCTCCCGACAGTATATCCGTAGGTCGTGACCGATGTCTGGATGGTGAAGTGAAATCGCTGATAAGGAAACTTTGGCCGTGAAGCGGAATCTTGACGTCAATGTCTATAAAAGGCGAGGATTCAAAATGATGCCAAAGGTAGAAATAAGCTCTTTATTATTTTTTATTTTTTGACATCAATATTATACGGAATGTGGCAATCAGTATGAACTAAAGACATTGATGTGCCTGCCGTGACTTCGTAACATGTACAGCGTCTATTTCCCCGCGTCTCAAGCTCCGCTGTTGAGTGCGTGCATGAGATTGACATTCTACCAGCTCCAGGCCGATAAGCCGATAGCAGTTGTTTATCTATCACCTTCTTTATCGTGATGCAGCTCTGCTGAATGGCATCTTTGTCAATGTAGTCTCACCGTCAGCGATCCTAGTATCATGGCTCGACCATCTATTGGAGCGCAGGCCTCTCGTCTTGCGCGAGATCTTCCTCTGGGGATATCATCATCCTCCTCCACGCGGATTCCAAAGCTGGTCTATGGCACCGCCTGGAAGAAGGACCAGACCGCAGATCTAGTCTATCTGGCTCTGAAAACAGGCTTTCGGGGCATCGACACTGCAGCCCAGCCAAAGCATTACGATGAACGTGGCGTTGCCACCGGTGTTCGACGGGCTATAGGTGAAGGTATAATCAAACGCGAGGACCTATTCGTATGTTTAACCACAAGTCTTTTTTGCACACTTGACTAAACCATGCATTTGTAGATTCAGACCAAATTTACCTCGCCGGCGGGGCAGAGTGACATTGCTCCATACGACTTCAATGCCCCGCTGGCTGATAAAGTTCACCAGTCTGTGCAGTCATCCCTCGCCAACTTTACGATCGATGGCCAAGAAGCATACCTGGACAGCCTCGTGCTGCATTCCCCCATGGACACTATCCAAGAGACTATAACCGTGTGGAAGACTCTCGAAACGTACACTCCGCACAAGATTCGCAATCTCGGCATATCCAACACCACCTTTCCCGTCTTGCAGGCTTTATTCAACGACATGAGCGTCAAGCCAGCCGTTGTGCAGAATCGGTTCCATAATAGGACTGGTTACGAGACTGAGCTTAGGGCATTCTGTCGCGAGCAGAAGATTGTGTTCCAATCATTTTGGACAATATCCGCCAATAGGCATCTTCTTCAATGCAGCCCCGTTCGAGAGGTGGCACAAAAGGCTGGAGTGGGAGCAGTTGCGGCGTTTTACTCCATGGTATTGGGCCTTGAAGGAACGACCATCTTGGATGGAACGACAAGTGAGGATCATATGAAGGAGGACTTGGAGGGAATAGAGGCTGTGGGTGTCTGGGCAGAGGGAGAAGGGGCTTCTGATTGGGCGTCTGCGCTCAGTAGCTTCAGGAAACTGATTGGTGAGTCGTAGCCCTATGCGGAAGAGTAAAGAATCGCTATAGCTGCAGGTGACATAACGCTGCGAGTTTACAAATTTACCCTTTGTAACTCAAAAACGTTTAGCAATTCGAATGGGATTGTGTATGAGTATAGTCTGCATATCCAGCAATACGGCAAGAATAAACGAGAATGTCTTGGGATATCCTGAGTGTATGTCTACGTCTAAATATCTTTTGCAAATGTGTTCGCTACAATAAAAGGGAAGCAAGCAGTGGCTTCCAAGTACACCTATTTGCTTCGTGTCAGCTTATATCCCTAGAATTGCAAGACCAGAGACACGAGGAGGCGCTTACCTTGACATTATCTGCTCCAATCTTGATCTTGCCCCATGAAACAGCCTCATCCGGACGAGCACCGGCGTCACTTCCGTCGAATTCTTGGGCTGTGTTGATATAGACGGCGGATTCCGCACCGTTTCTCATCAGGCATGCATTTGCAATATGGTGCTTGACCACTCCTCCTCCCAGAATAATCATCCCTGCTCTCTTGGCTCGTACGGCGATGGTGTTGATGCGGCGGATATCTTCCACGAGGTCAACGCGCAACTGCTGCGGCGAGGTTTTGAATGTGTGAAAGTAAAGCATATCTCCTAGACTGCCATCCGTCAGGGCAGGGCAGAAGACCGGAATGTCGTTCTTGTACGCCCAGTAGTATACCGAGCGCTCATCATTGATCTCCTTACCGAGCCGGTGGATAACCTTGGATGGTGTCCAGTGAATCTCGTCTTCTGTTCCTTTGCTGGCTTCCTGTTCCTCCAGCATCTTGTCAAAGATGGGCACCACCCAGTCCTCAAAGGCGCAGTAGTTTGCATTAGGCACCACGAGGTTTCCGATACGGTTGAGACCCTTTTTCCGAAGACTTGCACCATCTGCGCTGAAAGAGCTCATGTATGTTTCACCGAGGCACTTGATGAAATCTTCTTCAACGCCTCCTGCTGTGGTCACTATGGCTGAGACATGCTTGTGCTCCACCAGCCACCGAAAGACGCCTCTCAGACCGGATGAAATCAGGTTTGAGGTGTATCCCAGGAAAATGGTAGTCTTGTCTCCTGTTTCAGGGTCTCTCCAGGCTCTCTTGATTTAAGGCCGTTAGCCATACAAAGTCAGCAGTATTGAAGCCCTCTCTTTAACTAACCATGTCGTTGATGATCCTGATGGCCTCACTCATTGAGCTTGCCTGAAATCCCATGTTTCTCATGCCAAGAAATAAGTCCTCTGCGGTAATGGGCCCCTTTAGTTTGTTGAAATCAAGTTCTTCTACCTTTTGGGCGTCCTTTGGCATTTCTTCAGACTTGACGAGAACCGCATTGGTGACCTCGGCTGGAGGCGCATTTGAGCTGCCGCTGTCAGCCATATTAACGGTATGTGATATCTTCGCAAGATGTTAAAGAGACAAGGTCCTTTGGATGCTCGAGATAAAATGAATTAATAATGAAATGTTCTAATCTCTATAGAGGGCCTTTCAACTTCAGGGTCGATAGGAATACTCTTCGCCTCTCTCTATATTTGCACAGGTCGCGGGTAGCCTCATCCGCCAAGGATTTACTCAAAAATTAAAGAAAAAATGCATCAGCAATGGGGCTAGTCCCACAATTGCAGTTGTTGTCGGCAGTGCCAGAAACATCAAATCGAATTTTTCTCGACAGCGCCAAGCCCCCGCCTAAAACCGGGGTGCCTCAATCACAGCAGAACCCCCCGGAAGGGACTAGCGCCTCGCGGCAAAGAGGCTAGGCCTGTCCAAGCGCCACGCGATCTGGATGTATTTTGAAGTCTCACGGTGGACCTCGACATCTTCAGCTCCTTCACCCTTCCAGCCCCCGACGGCTATTTGCATCGATTCGCCTGGAATAGTCTGCGGCGTCGCGGCCAGACATTGTCGGATTGTCGGCCGGGCTTTGCATCCTGATTTCTTGCTGTTTGGAGGGTTCTGGCCCATTGGATTCGACTTCGCGGGACCCCCTGTGCTGGATTCGGGTACAGAGGGCACGTTAGCCGAACCGTTGAGCCCATTGGAACTCCCCGTGGCCAACAACAAAGAAGCCCGACTTCGATACGCCACGAATCCATCTCCAGCTCTGGTTTCGCGACACCATTTGCTCTTGGATGGGACCTGCGGAACATCTGCAGGGTCTCATCCGACACTGGCCTGCCACACATCATGTACGTACCGCGCTGGAATCGTCTACCCGCCTCGAAACGGTGCATTGTCGATGGCCGCGGTTGGCGCCGCGCCCATCGTTGTCAGAAGCGAAGATAGAGTTCTGCAAGTACCGGCCTGGGGCGTGTTACTCACGTTAACAATTGTTCTAGGACGTCCAGGTATTCAAGATACGATGGGGATCGGCGGTCTAGGTCCCCTCGAGATCGATCCCCAGCGGATCGCTTTGACCGACCGCCGCACTTCAACAATGATGGCGATAGGCGTCGCTCATCCGCAGAAGCGCGAACGAATTCGGCACCGTTTCCGCCAGGCAGAGATCTTTTCGGAGACCAGATGCGCAGAGAGCCGCCGCGTGGTCCCAAGGCTCTTATAGATGCGCCCGTCGGGCCGAGAGGAGGCGGATTTGGCGGCGACTTTAGAGGCGGAAGAGGGCGTGGTAGAGGACGAGGATGGGGAGGACGAGACGATAGCCGTGATCGGGGGAGAGACCGAGATGTCGACTTTCGAGACCGGTATCGAGACGAGAGAAGCCGAGAACGTGACCGGGAGCGAGACAGAGACTGGCGCGACTCGAGAGACTTTAGGCTGCGCAGATCGCCAATCGGGAGAGCTCGATCGCCAACGCGAGATGGACGAGATTTCCGGGATCGTGATCGGGATATACCTCCAGGGCTAGATGCAGACAGATCTCGACGTGGCTCCCGTGATGGTGGCCCTCCTTCGGCAGGCTCTTCAACATCAGAGCCTCCGTTTGGCGTGTTGCCATTTCCTCGAGGAGGTGGATTCCGTGGGCGAGGAAGAGGTGGAAGAGGAGATTGGGGCATGGAAAGAGGTCGTGGCCGAGTTCCGTACGACGATCGCGGCGACCGCTACATGCGCAGCCGCTCTCAGGAGGGGCGCTGGGCTCGTGAGCGTGACGAGCGCGAGCGGAACGATAGACATCCTGATGCTGATGTGCGTCGTGACCTTCATATCGATAGGGACCGAGGAGACCTTTTCCGCCCAAAGATGGCAGCCCAGGAGTCTGCCGCGCAGGCCAAAGACGTCTCACCTCTCCATGTGACACCTTCAGCCCCGGCATTCGAGCCTGCGCCAAACCGGGCTCCGGCTATGGGTACAAGTTCAGGTGCTGGTGGTGAGGTGCAGACACCGACGCAGGCGCAGGCACAGGCGCAGGCTGCCCCCAGCATAGTCACAGCCAAACCACCACCGACGGCCCCACGGGCATTTGGAGAACGCCCAGTTTCTGCAGGGCAAGCTTCCACAGCACCAGCTTCCACAGCCCCGGAGATCCCATTGCCTCCCGCCGGGCCATCGAAAATCGGCGCACCTCACGACAGTCCTCCAATAGGGACACCTGTAGGCCCCCGGCTTCAACAGCAACCCAAGGTTACCCGCCCGTCTAGCAAACAATGGATCAACCCAAGCTTGAAGAAGCCGCCGCCGCCGCCAGAATCACCAAAGGTGACGAGATCACAAAGCTTTGCTCAGCAGCGGCCCATCCCATTACAACGGGACCCCTCGCAAGTCGAGCCGCCCGAACCTAGGCGACCGCGTAGTAGCGATGCAAAGTCGGATTCTTACTCTGGGCTAGATAGTAGACTGCGAGCCCATCACAGCGAAGAGCCGGGTGAGATAACTACAAGGACCGAAGACGAAAAACCGAGCGATATTGATGTAAATGCCGAAGCTGAGAAGCCCGAGAGAATGGAATCAGTTGACTACGAGCCACCTGAATCAATGGACCTGGAGGTAAAGCCTTTGGATAACTCAGAGCAACCTGCTGCCCCTTCTACCACTTCCCCGAAGCAGGAAGCGCTTCCTAAGCAAGACTCACCTTCTAAACCTCAGGAGAATGAGACGACCGAGGATACGAAACCTTCTGCGGAAGCAGCCACAGAACAAAAACATAGACGACTCAAAGTGCGCGCCGTGCGATTCGCTCTGCCTCCAAAGAAAACTCCGCAAGAGGAACCTCCCGAGTCTGATGATGAAGATATGGGCGACTATTTCGACATGGAAATCAACAAGACTGAAGCTGAATTGAACAAATTACAAAGACCAAAAACGCCAGTTGATGTTATCAGGCGCTTTATGGGATTATCGCATGGAGCAATGGTACAGATACTCAACGAGGGTGAAGGACTGTCCGAGATGCTGGGCGATATACCGGAGAACCATGAGCCCGAAAGCGAAAAAATGGAAGTGGAGGCCGCCGCTGTACAAACAGAAGAGACGCCTGCTATTTCTGACGAACCTCTTCCCTCAAAGGAGACTGAGGAGGTCAATCACGAAAAGGAGCCTGCCAGTGACCAACTTGAGAAGAAATTAATTCAGGAAGATCAAGAGAAACCTGAAATTGGAGCAGCCACACAAGAGGCAGAAGATGTCCAGCCAAAGGCCGAAGAAATGGATATCGATAACGAGCCTACAATTTCGCCCCCCGAGCCCAAGGATGTTCCTGAGCCTGTAGCCGAAATTACAGCAGATGAGCCTACTATGCAAGAGGACAAAGAAGTTGAAACCGAACCGATCATTCAACAGGCTCCGGCACCTATCGAAGAGGCTCCCAGTCCGGCGAAACCAACTGAAGTGGAGCCTAAGGCTCCAAGCACGCCATCTCAAATACCAGATGAGGATGATGAGACTGAAACTGAAGATGAGGCCTATATGGAGGCTCAAGCTGTCGCGGCCGCTGAGACAGTCCGTCAATATATGTCAACGCCCCCCATCGATAGCCTGCCTGACTTTCAAGGTCCAGTGTGGTATCGAGATAAAGACTTTCTGGCAACGCTGGATTCGGACCCAATCATTGACGACTTTGTTGCTGAGCATCTTGCAAAAATTCACTTTGATAGATCGGCTGAGCAACGGCACGCGCAACAGATCTACGCAGACAACTACATGCAGTACTTGAAGTACACCTTGTCGGATGATCCTGTGGCGACAAAAAGCCGAGATAAATTTTCTGTTTCAGCCCCCTCTGAGACTACAGGTACTGTGACACCTGAGCAGAAGCCAGAAGGGAGGGGTACAGGTAGAAGATTTGCCACAGAACGCGATCTCGAGCGTGTGCTTCAGGCGTCCATGCGAGAAGACGAAGAGAGAAAAGAGCGAGAATTGCGAATCCAGCAGGAGAAATATCGCAGCGATAAGGAGGCTGTTATTCCAGACATGTACTGGGACGATCTGGAGAAGCAACAGGTTCAGTATATTGATCGATCAGGGTATACGCCTCCAGATAGGCTTGTCTCAGCATGGCACATACTCCCTCCCTCTAACAATTACACGCAAGAGGAGGCACAGCTCTTTGAGAAGCGTTACCTAGAGCTTCCCAAGCAATGGGGCAAGATTGCAGAGGTTCTTCCCAACCGCGACTTCCACTCCTGCATTCAGTATTACTACCTGATGAAGGGAGAGCTTAACCTCAAGGAGAAGCTGAAGAAGCAACCCAAGAGGCGTAAGAAGGGTGGGCGAGGCAAACAGAGGTCTAGCGCTCTGGTTTCAGAGCTCGGTAACGGCGAGCCTGAAGCAGAGGAAACGCCCCAAGAAAATGGAGAGAATGGGGAAAGGCGGAGGCCACGAAGAGCTGCCGCTCCCACCTGGGGCTTCGAGCAACCTACGACGGACGGCGAGAGCACTCCTGCTGCTACTCCTGGGCGACGCGGAGCATCTGCTGCTGCCAAGGGCGACCAGCCAGAAAAGGTGGACGGCCGGAAAAGGAGAAAGCCAAGAGACAAAGACAAGGACAAGGACAAGGACAAGGACAAAGAAAAAGACAAAGATGCCAAAGCGTCCAAGCCAAACCAAGTTCTCGCGGCAGCGCCGGGCCCCAGCTCCGGGACAGGAAAGGGAAGAGGCCGAGGCGAATCCCGCCCAGTGGCCGCAGAATTCCTGCCAGCTCCTCACCCTCTCTCCGACCCTCATCGCTTGCCGGTACAGTTCGAACAACCGCTGCCTGCAGGTATTCAACCGCCATTTGTTGTGCCACAGCCGCAACTAATGGACAGACCGAAGCCTGCCGTTACTTCTATCAACGAAGTTATGGCGGCTCCATCGCTTCGGCCTGAACCGCCCCCACCCCCTCCTTCATCTATTACCACTTTCAACTTACAGCAGCCCATTCCTGAGCGAAAGGCAGCGTCACAAGCAGCATCGAGCTATTGGAGTGTTTCGGAAGCTAATGACTTCCC